TGCTAGAGCCTCTAAACATGACAAACGAACGCCCACCTGACATTTTTAATACACTCACACCATGAATTTAAAGTGAATACTGCACAAAGAATGAATGTCATCCAGAATTTATTTCTCGTCAATAACTTATGATTATAAATTTCCTGTCACCGACTGATAGAACTCAATAGTTAATTAGTTAATTCAATACTCCGGCCCGAAGAGACTCTAAAAAAAATCACGTATTTAAATGTGACGAACATTCTCTTACGAGGATCGGAGGAAGACTGATTTATCGGAGTATTTTCTAAACGTCAGTTGACTAAAACGAGAAGAAACAAGAATATTTCTGCAGCTGTCCCCTCCGAATTTTCTTGGAATTGAAAATTCGCAGAAATAATCCAAATAAATATCTCTCATACTTGGAGTATTAGTGTTTTGTGTGTTTTTGTTTTCCTTTCTATGTACCAATACATGAGTAGAGGTCGTTTTATCTGAGAAAAATGATGCATTGATGAGCATTCAGAGGACGTCGAGCGTCCCACCCATCTTCGCGCGTCGCGCATCCTCCCGCGCCCACCTGGTGGACCATATTTCAGCAACGGATTGATGGATTTTGATTTAAAAAAATGATAATTATTTATTACACAAAAAGGAACAACTTTTGTCATGAACATTTTCTTCTATTTGCCAATGTTTCCCATAAAAAAAAAATCATCAAAAAAACCACTTAATTTGTTTATAACTATTAATTGCACGCACTTACATAATAAATACCACCGGATTCGGATTTCTCATACCCGAAAACATAAGAAAACACCTCAAAACCTTACCGCACTAGAAGTGCACACGGGAAGGGGGTATTGCGTGTGGACTAAGACTAAATATTAGAGACAATAAGTTCTTTAGGAGATATTGCGCCGGAAAGAAAAGTTGTTTTTAGCGTATGCTCGGGTGAAGCCTGAGATGAAAAGTATTAACGTTACGCGACAGTTTTACTACGGTCGTTCGGTTTGTGAGAGTTTCTTGGGTGACTGAGGGTGGCCTGTGTGACGAACGTTGAGGTCATTTTTTGGAACAAAGGGTGTATTGTTTAAGACTGAATACGAGTGAGAAAATATTTTCAAAATAAAGAAGAAAAAGAGTCTTTGCCCGAATGAGAGAATAAAGAGAGAGTTAGTTGTACACTGAGAGAAAAATATGATTCTTCTGACTATATTCCATCACCATCGAATTATAGTCAATAAGTCCTCAACAATTTTTCATGGGTTACGGTCACTATGACCGGAGAAGTAATTACTACAATGGAATGTAGTCATTGCAACTATTTTATAGTTCTCCTCACGATAGATTTGTCGTGGTTACTTTTGCACTTTGGTTAGTTTAACTGCATTTTGATTTGCGAATATTACGCTTGTGAAGTTACTATAATGTTATGTACCGCATACAAAAAAAAATCGTATCATTCACCAAAAGTGCCACAACGATGTATTTTTCCAATTCGATTTTAACTCAAACTAACGTTCATTTATTCCATCAAATAAATATCCTGTGTCCTCATGATTATGCCCCCACATTAATAAAAAAATTGCAGGTGGCTGTACCTTCGATACAGCTGTAATTGTACGTGGATGCGTCCATGGTATTTCCTTCTTTCTCGAATTTCCTAGAAACTTCATGCATTCCCTCGAATTTTCGGGAAACTCTTTGAATTCAGTAGCGAAGTGGCAAAACGGTTTAAGTTGATTTTGACTATTTGCCACTTTTCAATGAATATTCCCGAATTCAAGGGAGATAGCGAAATTTTTGTTACAACCTTTTTTTGTAGAGTCGATTGAGAGCTATAACAAATGTAATTATAAAAATTTCGCTATCTCTCTTAGATTTGGAAATATTCCTCAAAAACTCAAATGGGAGATAGCTCCTAGAATTTCCTCGAAATTTCTATAATTTTCTAGAATGCCGACAGATGGCGCTGCCCATAAAGATCGTTGCCCAAAATGACCCCCCATATTGAAACCCTAGACATCTCCACGTCAAAACCGAATGTTCAAAAAAAGGAATCCCCTGCTGAAGGTTATTACAACGCCACTAATTATCCCCGAACGCCGTCAAATGTCTCTCTCCCAATTAAGCCCGCAAATTCGACGATTGAGAATCCCCAACCCCCAGTAAAGTCCGCCCGAATCTCCAAAATATACTTGATATCCTCAAAGCACATAAACCCAATCTTTTAATCCGACTTAAATTAAACTCTTCATTAAAAGTAAATTCAAAGGTACTTACCTCTTTTCAATGTATTCATGAAAAGTGGAAACTATCCAATCGAGAGTTGGTCGCCCCGGCAGCGTTTGAAAGAGTCCTTCCACCGCCTTGGAAACTCCGTGACAAACTTGTTGGCCCTCTTCGCAGTCACAAGTGCCCGTGTCATTCGGCTGAATTTGCCAAGCGCCCGCATAATCACCACCGAATTTATCATGAAGCTGTGATGACACCCGTTGCAGAAATAAATCACTACTATTATCAATACTGTAAAAATAAGTCACATGAGTATCATAAAGCTTGGGATTGAGATCGAGAGGTGGTTCATCACTGGACGGTGGTCTTATCAGTGAGAATCCCATGGCTATGGCGACAAAAATCGTCGGCAAAAGTAGAGTGGCAAGTGGAGCTCTCCAGTCCCTCGCAAAATGCCACATTCTCTTCATCAACAACGCCTTAGCCTGCCTCCACGGCGATGGCTTCAGTATCGTCTCCGTTATTATAGACTCAGTATCATCAAATATATTTACATTAACCGAAGCCCTACTATTTACACTAGCCAAACTTCCGCCGATAGCCGAACTCCCGTGCTCAGCTTTACCACAAAGATTCAGGAAAACCCTCTCTAATGTATCACAGTCCAACGAAATTCTCGAGAATCCCAAGCTCGTCTTATTCTCCTCCAGCTTTTTAATCACTCCAGCAATGTCATTAGCGATACCGTGTTTACCCTGGAAAGGAAGCCTCACCCTTACTTCAGAACCCAAGGAATCCACATTCGCATTAGGAGCTACAGTCTCCACGAGTTTCTGCAAGCGCTGACGCTCGGCGTATCGATTCGAGTCTGGAGTTGGAAACGATAGGTTCAACCAGTAGCCCTGTCCGTAAGTTGTTTTCAAGCTCAGGGGTGATCCCGTGCATAGAATCTTGCCCTTGTGCATGACTACGACGGTATCGCTCAGCATGTCAGCTTCGTCTAGGTGATGGGTTGACAGGAGAACTGTCCTGTTGTATCTGTGCTGATCAATCAGGTGCCAGATGCGTCTTCTCGCTGCTGGATCCACCCCAGCACCGGGTTCGTCAAGGATCACAAGCTTTGGGGCGCCCAGGAAAGCCAGTGCTACGCACAGACGTCTCTTGGTCCCGCCTGAGAGCCTCGACACTGGCTCGTGCTCTTGTTTTCCCAGTTCCAGAGATGCCAGCATGGAATTAACGTCTTTCAGCATTTCCTCGTCACTCAATGGCCGCTTGAGCTTGGCGTAGAAAATCATGTGCTCACGCGGGGTCAGGGTGTCGATGAGGACATTGTCCTGGGGACAAACGCCGATGTCTGGTTTAGTGCCTTCCTCACCGTCCAGGTATATTTCACCGCATGTGGGGGCTATCATGCCAGTCAACATCTTTATTATTGTGGTTTTGCCCGCTCCGTTGCGACCGAGGAGACCAGTCACTTCACCTTTGCAGAGTTTTAGGGTGAAGTCGTCTACTGCGATTACTTCACCTGGCTCTGTGTCGTAAATCTTTCGTACACCTTCGAATCTCACACCGACTTGCTTCTCGCTTACTGCCATTGTCGTCGCGTCATTGTCCTCATCTGTGGATTGAAGGAGCGAGTGTCAAGGGAATGGTAATGGGTGTTTTATGGGGAGAGCGAGGGAATAATGCTTCACGGTGAGGCGGCTGAATTTTTGCTTCGGTTTTTACTTATTTCAGTGGAAGTGGGTGAAACTCGGCACGGAGAACAAAGTTGGAGAAAAATTATCAAACAAGTCTAGTAATCGGGGAGCAAGCTCGATTTCCAGGACTTTTGCAACTTAAATAGGAGAAAAAGTGGGAGATTAATAGTGAATTTTACTCTGGTGTCTCGAGAAAATTTATTAAACGTGAGGATGGTTTATACCGAAACTGTGGAATTTAACGTGTATCAAAAATAAAAAATTCAGTAGCGAAGCGGTCAAACGGTTTAAGTCAGTTTTGTCCAGTGATAGACATATCAATCAATCATAATTACCGTTAAATGATGAAGTTGTCAATTTTTAACATAAACCTTAGAATTTTAAATATTGAATTAAGCATCAATTTGTATACATTTTAATTTCGAAATATTTTATCGACCAATAATTTAGGTAGGAAGATTGACGATTATTTGGATAATTCGATTATCCAAATCAAGTCCCTAAATTTAGAATTAGCTTGTTAACTAAAAAAATTACATTTCAATATTATCAAATATTTTATTCGCCATCAATCGGAAAATTTAGTTAATAAATTTTATAAATTAAAATGATGAAGTTAAATGATGAAGTTGTCAATTTTTAACATAAACCTTAGAATTTTAAATATTGAATTAACCATCAATTTGTATACATTTTAATTTCGAAATATTTTATCGACCAATAATTTAGGTAGGAAGATTGACGATTATTTGGATAATTCGATTATCCAAATCAAGTCCCTAAATTTAGAATTAGCTTGTTAACTAAAAAAATTACATTTCAATATTATCAAATATTTTATTCGCCATCAATCGGAAAATTTAGTTAATAAATTTTATAATATTTTAAATTTGTTAAATATAGTTAAACAATATTAGGAGATAATCCCTTTTTAATATTGTCAAAATCTAATATTATTACCCATCCCTGGTTTTGTCTTTAGTTGAGTTTTCCAGAAATATTTGCGAATTTAAGGGAGATAGCGAAATTTTCATAATAACCTTTTTTATAGAGCGAATTGAGTGCTACTAAAAAGGTTATGAGAAAATTTTCGCCATCTCCCTTAGATTTCGAGATATTCGCTGAAAACGGGCCAATAGCCAAAATCGACTTAAACCGTTTAACCACTTCACTACTGAATTATCTCAGTGAACGTGAATAGCTCCAATTTTTCGTATAATTTTTCTGTAACGGAGAATAATTTTTGCATCCATAGATGTATTTTTTTACCGAGAAAATCATAAGATATCCGCTAAAATCCATTATTTTTTCACTGAATTACATTTCGCTCCACAATTACCATTCGTATATTAAAATTTGTCACGATTTTTGAGATGATTTTTATCCAACTTTTCTCTCCGTGTGTGTCAGGAAACTCTTTACACAATTATGACTATAATGTTTCAATAATGTCGTCGATGTAAAATTTCTGTTCGCCCCTAGGGGATCTCTGTATCTCTGGGGATAATAAAACGCATTCTATCTAGCTATCTAAAAGGTTTTATACGCACGAAAAAAAGTAATAGAAAAACCTAACGAATTCGCTCAAAGATTCTGTTGAAATATTCAATAGAAAATGTCAATAGAATTCGATTCTTCTATAAAATTCCCTCGACTCAAATTTTCTAAGATTTTTTAATTCTCCTTTCCTTTTCTTCTGATGAAAATCTGTGTTTTGGGTAGTTGATTTTTCATGAATCTCGGCATTTTTCAATATCAAACACATTTTATTTACGACTTCAATGTTCATCCACTCAAAATAATAATTTTTTTATACCTAAAACAAAAACGAAAAAACGAGTAAATCAAAAAAAAATAATTTTCCTAGGATCTAGTGGAGATAATCGAAAAAAATAGTAAGTTTTATTTAATGAAATCTAACGAACATTTTGAAGAGAAAAAGTTTAAATCGGATGACAATTACGGTGTGAACAAAATTTTAAAGCCAAAAACACGAAATACTATGATTTCACTTGACGTAAACGCTGTTTTGAGGGGGTAAAATGGGTTGGGTTTGTATACCAGAAATCGCTTGATAGCCACATTCATCAACCCAAGACTCAAATGTCCCTTAGGAAATCATGTCAAAGAAATTGATGTACTGGTGCGATTTCACGTCTGACCATGATGGGGGCATGACCCCTTAATCCAAGTTCAGTAGTAACAGAATGCCTTACACATGTGCAATTTTTTAATTGTTCTGCGGTCCATAATTGACAGTTTTTAAAAGCCAAAATGCTTCAGTCTCTTCACTACTAGATCGTGCAGTGCATTAAGTTTTTCGGTTAATGAAAATCAACAACTATAGGAAAAAATTCAATTCAAAATTCTACACTGGCGATTCTTTATCCTGACGTTTTCTCTAACTGATCTGCTCTGTTGGCTTATTTTATACTCGTTAATACCACTATAGTATGATGTAATATAGTATTTAACACCCCATTGGTTTTTACTCTTTTTTATTTTTCATTAAGAATTTAAATCTTTAATAAATCAAAGAAGGAAATTCGGGAGAATTACGACGATAAATTTCAATACGAAAAGACCGAACAGATTAACAGAGAATTCAAAATCCATAGATTTTTCGCAAATAAATCTTTCACTTGAAAAAACAAAAATATGAAAATCCATTGAAATTTTCTGTTGAATTTTCCCATTCGGCGACAACTAAATTTCATGTTTAAAGCCCTTATTTCGCTCTAAAAAAATGCAATTCAACCCTTCTCCACTCGCCTGGGATGTATAGCGCACTCCAGTCGTTGTTGAATTTTTTACCTCTTTCTCATTAATTGGAACGAAAACGTCGAGATGAATATTATTCTTCGAACCTTCAGCTATTCAGTCACATTTTTCCTATGAAATTTATGAAATCCATGTGAATGACGGAGGATTGAATAATGTCTCTAGGGCATCGTGATTATTCACGAAACTAAGCAAATGTTATTTCTCATGTTTTTTTCAAAATTCAGAGGATACATCGTTGAATGTTACGAATTCATTCCGTTTGTCATTACTTGATTAATGATCGACCGGTAGCCAAAATGTTATATATAAATGAAACACAAATATTTGCGAATAAATTGCTTACATGCCAATTAAAACACGTAAATGATCGTGACGTGCAGTTAATAATGATACCTTGATAAGTTGTCGAATTGTGCAGTACATCATTAGTGAAATACAGGCTGTTGACGAATGCAAGGTAGCTAGGCCGGCCGAATAGTGCACGTGGATCGGACCACCATAAGCTACGGGATCGTAAACCTGGTGAACCTTTTCCTGAAAATTTTTATTCACTGTTTTCCTTGCGCCAAGTTAAGTGCTCAACGAAGTAATCTTAATGGAAGTGTAGTAGGATTAATGAATGAAGACATTTTTGTGGAAACATTCACCAGGAGGAAAAGTCGTTTTAAGTGCCACAGCTGGATTGAGGAGATGACGGGGAGTTTCTCGGTGTTTTACCTGAGTTGGTGTATCTGACTATTGCGTAGCCGATTGCTGCGTAGAGGCAGCCATCAAGTGCTAGCATTGTGAGGATCAGACCGAGGGACATGGGGTCCCCGGGGCTCGGTTCCTCCCAGATGTGCTTCCACCTTATGCCTGTTCCTTGGACCTCGCGGCGGACTGTGTACAAACAGCCGTAGCAAAAACTTGTCGACATACTGAGGCACTGGAAAATCGTGGATTGTCGGAAGAATTTTTAATCGACTCCAATATTTTTACGCAGAGAGAAAAAAATTTTCTAGCTTTGAAGGAAAATTGGTTGATTTCAGATCCCCACACTGACAAAAACAAAGGTTTTCAAGAAATACGTCTTTACTTATATCAAGAAACTTCTGGTTTGAAAATTTTCAAGAGTAAAATATCTTGCACCATGAAAATAAAAACTTTCGCCAAGTAATTTTGTACTTGCCCCAAACACGAGGACAATTTTTTGATGATGAGAAAACGATTTCTCAAACCAAGTAAAATTGAATCAATTCATTTAATAGTTTTTTAGCCTCAATTCTAAAATATCTTGATGAAAAAACCACTTGAATTGATTTGAGAACTAGTTTTCTTGATATGAACAAATTGTCCTCCTCTTTCGGACAAGTATAAAATTTCTTGGCGTAAGATTTTTTTTTTTAGTGTGCACTTGGTACTTTTAAAACTACGAATTTCTTGATACGAGTAAAGAAGTAAATACTTCTCAAAAACACTTGCCTTCTCAGTGCATAGTGATAGAATTTAATAGGCAAGATTTTAAGGATATCCAAGTACTTTGGCAATTTTTTTCTCCAGTGAAATGCTTTTCTACTTTTATAGTCGAACATCAGAGCTTTCATTTGAGCCCCATTTGATCCTGAGCTTCCAGAAATTGTACAGTGATTTTATTATTTAAACTTTTGCAGGTCTGAATTTGAATATCGATATTAAACCGTTAGAAAACATTTCAAAACGCTAAAAATAATTTGCAATAACGGAAATAATTTTTCACTTAGATGAATAAAACATTTTTTTCTCTCTGTAATACCGCTAAAAATCAATAAAACTCACGAGTATCAAATTGTACGCAAGTCCCATAGTGGCCTCCATAGCAATAACAATGACATACGGCATATAAGTAAGCAGAAACATAACGACAGTAGTCACCGCTGCCAAACTAGCAGATCTAAACATGGTCGAGATCATGTAGCAAAACGTAACGATAGCAAAAACGTAATCGAGAAAGAGAATCATAATTAGCCCTGGGTCTGAGAGCGGTAGAATTTTTCCAGCCACGAGAATTATGCAAATTGACGTTACGACAATCGTCAACTCAATTGTCGTGGTAATGAACCAAGCGAGAGTATTCCTCCAGGGTTTTAATCCCATTACACTCATTACCATCGAGTTCTGTGATTCTCTCTCCCAAACCATGTATCGAACGGCCGAGCCGACGCACATCATCATAGCGAAGAAAAAGCAAGTGATTAGACCCTGAGATTCGTACAGAGTTCTCTGAAATGGTGCATATTTCCAGCATGGATAGGGCATCTGTTGTGACACTGTTTTCCAATTCTGCTCCTTGCCCGATTTAACTTCTATTATAGCGCGATCAATAGAGTCCTGAAGTTGTACAAAGCCACGTAGATACCTCAAATCCTCGATAAATGAGCCTTCGGGTCCAGGCACCCAAAATTGATTTTTCAATCTCTTTGTCGAGGGTACGTAATCCACGTCCATCCGTATTTTATATGTTACGTCGTGCTCCAAACTTTCACCCCCCAGAGATCTTCTTGATAGTTTCTCGTTGTCGAGAAAAACTACCCCAGCGAGAAATTCATTTGTATCAGTGAGTTTACGTGCCTCAACTTCGAGCTCCTCCTCACTGGTAAATCCAATCATTCTGTCAATGAGAATACAGTCCACTAGATTATTCAACATTCCAATCATTGTGACTAATTTATCTGATTTCTTCAACTTCCAGGCTAACTCGCCCAAATCAAAATTCGATAAATCACCCTGGACGCGTCCCCCACTCATCGATTGAACCGCTATTTTCATGACTTTAGAGGCCATAATCTCCTTCAAATCGTTCAGATTGTCCCCCATATCCGTTAAATTAGCTACGGCAATTAACGTTGTTTCAATGCTCGACATGAATTGCCCGAATATTTCCATTTCACGGAATGTTTGATTTGCAAGGCTCATTACTTTATTTATCACTGGTGAGGCAGGCGCGTAGAGGATTCTCCCCCGGAGAAGCGGCTTAACGTACGACCACACTATTTTTCCCCCCGTCATGCTCAAGAAGCTTTTGTAAGTGTCGCGACAAAAATCGGTTGGCAACGAATCCAATTCCCTCTGATCCACGGTTTTCTTCGTGTCCTCGATTTGAGTAATTATCCGATAAAATTCACCGCTGTCTGAGATCAACTGTCTCCCGCACATAAGTTCACTGGCATCCTGCAGGAATTTACCGCTAGTGAGCTCCGAGGAATCTTCAGTTTCCATAGTTTCGGATTGTTGAGCCGAAAAATCTGACGACATCTTATCCTTGAAGAGGGGCATGAGCTCACCCACAACTCCGAGATTATCGAATATCATGTTTCCCTCGGCTTCCGACAAGTTCGCGTTTTTCAAGATGTTCTTTACGTTTGCGCTCATCAAGTTCTTGAAGACGTAATCAAAATTAATGTTCTTGATTAGTGTTATTGCCAGGTTCTGGGTCACCGATGGGTCCAGGGAGCAGAGGATCCGACTGACTTCTTCCGCGGATGTGCGAGAAGCCTCGAAGTCCAACATTTCCTTCAATTTATCTGTGGAACAAACTGTGTCGGTCAAGCTCATAGCTGACCGCTCCTTCATAAACACCGAGAGCATGTCCACCTTGGTCTCACTCAGAATGTCCACAAGGTCATCCGAAAACTTGATATCGTTAACCAGAAACTTTCGGAGGACACTCCAATCCTGGAACATTTTGGCGACCGAATATTTCATATCCAATAGCCCCAAATTCTTGAATATCTCCATTGACTCGAAGGCATCAACGATGGAATTTAGATCTCGGATCACTTGGGGACTCTCGAGAAATGGCTCGACGTCCTCAACGATGTCCTTGAGTGCAGCAAAGAGTTTATCAATAGTTTGGTCTTTAACAAGATAGACGACCCCGTCGGCGACGTCAGGCACTCCTAGGACATTTGATACATCTTGAAAGTCAATTTTACTGGCAACTTCCAGAAGACTTCCACTTTCTTCCAGTGCCAGCATCAAATGCTCGAGAATCTGTTGCACCCAGGTTAGGCTCCATGTAGCACTCGTTCGCCATGACACAATTTCGCGGTTTATCAAATCAAAGTTAAGATGATTTACCAAAAGTTCGGAGATGTCCAGAGTTGATGGGTAACCGGCAGCTTTCGGATCGTAATTAAGGAGCTTATGAGCTCCCCTCGAGTTGAGGAAATCGTTAAAAGTTGTCGCATTTCCGCAGTTCTTTTGGCGTTTACAGAGGGAATTATTCCTCTCGCCGAACAATAAATTCACGTTTAATGAAGCATTTGGTAGGAGTTTCTCTACTTCACTAATACTTGAGTTCTGCACAATGTCTTTTAGGGGCTTCCAGATGGGAATGAACTTCTCAGCTATTCGGGTGTAATTAAGGAGCGCCTCGTGGTTGTCCGTCGTGTCTATGATTTTCACATTTTGCTTGATCCCGTCAAGAGCTCCGACCAGAATCTTCATGTAGATTGCTGGTGAGAAGGTCTTCACACCTTCCACTGCGCTCATCAGACACGACTCCAGCTTCTTATCACCCCCGGGATTCTTATAATCCATGATGATGTCCGTAATGTAGTGCAAACTATCCTGAATGGCAATCATGAAGCTCTCAACATTGAACTTCTTCGTCATAAATTCGTAATTCTTTATCATCCCAATCGTCTTCTTCCAGTACAACTGCTGATCCATCATGTCCTGCAGCTCAGCGACCTTCGTCCTTTTGTAGTTACACAGAATATCCGAATATATACGATGACGGCTCAACTGTGAATTTAAAATCTCCACGACACGAGTGTCGCAGAACGAACACGAGTTCTTAAACTCCGGAGAAGATGATAATATGTTTTTAAGAATTTTCACCGACTTGGAGACTATAGTGTGGGACAATGACCTTAAATCTCTCTCCTGAAATTGCTTTTTAAAGTCGATTAAAGTGCCTTCGCGGAATGAAATCCACCAGGAGGGTACTTTTGGGGGTTTATTACCGTCGCAGACAGATCGCAAAAGTGTGGATTGAAAGTGTTCCAGAGTATCCATAAAGTATGTCTCGTTCAATGTAACTCTTATCCACGTGTTGCCATCGCTATTTTTTATGTTTATATCGTCTAGGATATTTCCGCGTAGTGTTATATTGACAATACCGAGGGGCTTGAAGTCATTCATGCTAGAGTTGGTGTCCCTGAGGATGACTTTCTGACAGAAATTCGTGATGCTCGTTAGAATGCCCTTCTTCCGGACGTAAGACGGCGCGATGAGGTACCTTTCGATATCACAGAGGTTCACCTGACCCGCAATAAACTTATCGAAATAGTCGGTGAGTCTCTCCGAACTTATGAACGTCTCCAAAACCGTGATGACCAAATTTGGCGAGTCCTCGATTAAACTCAGAACTGATTTCACTTTAGTGTTTTCAAACGTCGTCCGCAACTTTTGCCAGATATCACCACCTGATATTACGTCCATCCAGGAGTCCGCGAGCTGCATTATTTGTCGGACAGCGTTTAGCGGATGATCTTGAAACATATTGTGGATTCTGCTCAGATCGATGTCTGAGAACGTTTGGACTGAGAAGTTATACTCCAAGGGGACCAGTTCCACCATCATTTTGTGGACCCACGACTGCTCCGCCTCGTAGATTAACTTTCTCGAGTCATTCGAAAGGTTCCTCAATGTCGTGAAGTTCAAAATGCTGGACTGAAAAGTCAATTTTCGAGAGGAATTCGCGTTGGCGTTCCACAGGGCCTCGATGAATTTCATCAAAGACTTCGATAGAGGATCGATTTTTTCTAATGAAGACCTCTTCCCCGAGATGATATTCAAATACTCTTCACTGGTTGCACTTCTCACCAACTGACGAGGGTCGTACGTGCATAGGTGATCGAGAAATTCTGTATTGTTCGCCTCCCTCCAGAAGTTAGCATCGAATCGCTGATAGCACATAGCGCGCCTGAGTTCCTTAAAAGGAATCAAGGCATTATCGGATGCGTTGAGTGTCGCGAGAGTTGCGGCTAATGAGAGGGTCTCGGCGGGTCGAGTCTCTATAAATTTAACGAGCTGATGAACGTCCCCGGGCCTGACCATGTCCCACAGGTGCAGTACATTGCCCTCTAATTTGTTCTCCTTCAGCACGAAAGCTGCATTTTTCAATGCCTCGGATAAACCTTCAACAATGAGTCGATAAATTGTCCAACCACTCTCCGGCTGCTTTGTTTGTGACTTGGATGTTAATACTCGGGGGACTTGGAGTATATCCTTCAGAGTATTAATAGCACCATTGAGGTACTGTTTATCGACGGGCGGATCGATAACCATTTTCCTATCAACAGCAGCTTCGGTAATTACCGCAAAGTCATGAATACTGTGGGCTAAAGTGAAGAAATAACTTCTGTAGTCAGACACGGGTCTACCCCAGTACGCAGTCTCCTCGAGGTAAAGATCGAAGAATGCGTTGAAATAGAGGGTATCATGATCGCAAGTGAAATTCTTTAGATTTAAGTACTCCTCGTCCGTCAATCCCACTTTATAATCTATGAACCATGAAAATAGTTTTTCACACGTTACACCTTCCCCATTCTCCACGGCTTTATGTATCTGATGGTCTAGTTCAGGATCGGATATGCCGTAAACCACTGTCGCTAAAATGTAGGGTAGACGCTGGTGCACTATAGACACTACACTCTTCCTCGTGAATCCAAGTAGAGTGAGAATGTTCAAACTTTGAGCATTAGTTTCCACGGGTTTTTCCAGTATCTCCAAGCCAAGATGAACGAGATCGTGAAGTACTTTGGAGCTGAATTTAGCGATAACGAGAATATCATCAATTCCTCGCGCTTTAGCAGTTGACATCCACGCTTCTCTAGCTGTTAAATTGCTCTGAAATGTCGGAATATTCTTGTCAATCTCGAGATCAATAAAGTCCAAAAATGTTTTCGCCTTCTCTTGGAATTTTGGAATCTCCTGCAGGATAACGTCTCCCTCCGTAATCCTTTTAACTTCGGGGAAAAATTTGTTGACGAGTCCACGGAATCTTATGTAGCCCGCTGTCCAATTGAACGCTGGCACTTGGCCAGGACCATCGCGGTCGAATATTTTAGAGGTCCTCATGAATGTTGGATGCTCACTCCACTCTCTGATGAAGGGGACGGGATTGCAGGCGATTTTTTCAATCTGGCGGAGCAGTTGTTGGGTGCCGGGACGGAGTTCCAGGGCTTCGCCGAGACTCTGTTTGTAGGAGCAAGGCCAGTTTGGCTCGTTTACCACGTGGTCGTTGATCGTTGTGAGGATGTGGACGGGGTTTTTCTGGCTGAAGATGTCGATAAGGTCCAGAGTTATGGAGGGAAGATTCCTGAGAGCTGTTTCCAGCAGAAGGTCAGTCTCTGGCATGTCGCTGAGACCTTGCGATGCGTTCCCAGGGTCATTCATGCCCAAGACGTCATCCAAAATTTTCTCGATCTTGTCGGTTACTGCGGAGACGGACCACGCCACTGCCTGCAGACTCTTCCAACCTGCTCGCTCCTGAATCCTGAACAGCGGACTTTCGGCTAGGTCGAACAGTCGACAGAGCAGCCCGACGATGACCTCTGCTCCGTGCTCGGGGGTCAGGCGTGTTGTCCACGCTTCAGTGAAATCCCTCTTCAATTTATCCAGATTTCTGAAGTAGTAGTCATTCTCGTCATCAAACTGCACCAGGGAATCCACGTACCCGTAGATCTCGACGATTTTTCCGTTGAATAGTGTCCAGTTAAAGGGCTTGCGGTCTCTGAACGTCATTTGTCGCAGCTCAACTGCTGTTATATTTATCTCGAGCTCCTTCTGCACGGCTCGGGCTAATCGACAGACGAGCCCCTTCAACAACGACGCGTTCCCACGCTCCGGGTAATTGATCAGCTGAGGGGCGCTTGAAGGGACGCAATATCCTCGCGTGAAGTTTGAGTACTCGAGAATGTCCAGGGTTTTATTCCGATCCGAAACAGTCAAATAGAAGGACTCTAATAATTCTGATTCATGCTCGCGAACCTGATTTATCCAACTTGTCGGGTTCTCACGAAGATCATCCAGGATTACGTCCGCTATTATATCCATATTCTCCAGATCTGGCTTGATTCGCGCGTACGAGATGCTTCGCTGTCCCACCAGTTTCGCAATGCTCAGGTGGTACACCAGGATGTCCTTCCTCCCTTCCGCCGAAGTCTCTTGGAAAATCTCCAGCCACTTTTCCGTTAATCCGAAATCACTCCAGTCGATCTTCTTCAGGGGTACGTGCGCCAGGTAATTTATGAGAAGCTTTATGCTTTTAACGGACGATGTCGCATTGGATTTCTCTATGGAGATTGGTCGGTTGAAGGCCATCATCACGAATGTCTCCAATGTGTTCTCGATAATCTTCTGGAATGTTTGGAACTCGAAGGCGTTGTAGACTTCAGTTATGAATTTCTTCCCCTCGTCCGAGCAGATTAACTCGTACTCTCGTGAAGGCTTCGTGGGAACGTTGAGTTTGAGGATTTCTTTGAAATTCTTCTCCGTGCATATCACATCTATCGGTGGAGTCTTTGCTGTACTCTCGATGAATTTCTCCGTCTGCCACAGGTGTGAGAACGTTTGAATGAGGTTTCGATAGACTTCGGGGTTCACTTCGGTCAAAATTCGGTTGACGAGGCTCTCGTGGCTCTTTGATATTCTGAACATTCTTTCCTGAAGCTCTTCGTGGATGATCGCCACGTGATGGACCATACGCACGACGCTCTCCATCATGGAGTTGAGGTAAGTCATCGTGTTAATGATCTTGTCGGAGAAGACGTTCCTCAAGCCGTCGAAAACATCAGCTGCTAGATTAGTGTCGTCAGCGTGATGATCCAACAGTCGTTTCATTAGTTTCACACCGTCCTCGAGAACTCGGTAAGTCCCATCGAGTATTTTTGTCACATCCTCTAAATTTAAAAGTTGATGGGGAAACGCTTGTACACTTTCACCGAAATCTTGGGAAAGTTCAAAGGGACTGGCTTCTTCGCGCGCGGTTGTGTTTCTCTCAACTACTTCTTTGATTATTTCGAGGAGTGAATTCAACTTGGATAAGCCGGAGCGTGCTACCGGCCAATTGCGATCGCCCGCGAAGACTGGATCTAGGACTTCAATGGTTCGGTTTATGAAGTTCAGGTCGATTTTTTTGAAGTTGAGGGTTCTGAACAGGGAGAGGAAGTTGGGGATCCACTCGCGAAGTTTGAGGTACTCGGGGACATGTTTGATTACTGTTTCTAGGTTTAGGACTGTTGTTATGGCTCTCGTGACGTCAGTGATGAAGTCGTAGTCACGGAATTTTGCCATAACTCGGCTGACGATCTCGAGGAGACCCGCGAAATCCAGGTGATCGGTAAGTTTTTCAAGTATTAGCGGCACTTGGGTGGAGTTGAGGTGACAGAGAGCGCTCGATATCTCGAGGAGGTTCTCCTCTCTCGGGACGATGAGGAATTCCTTCAGGCTGGATGGGTTGCAAACAACACCGTCGATGTTCGATGAGCCAAAGGATTCGATGAGATAATACAGTTTTATTGAGGTATCAAAGAGATCATCTAGGAGGTTCTCTCTGACACCCGGCAACTGCTTCATCAAAGAGCTCTTCAGAACTTGGTGATTGTTGAATAAATCCCCCAGTCGTAAGCCACGATCAAACAACTGCTTAATTTCTGGCTTTGTGAGAATTTCCGCCATTGATCGGAGAAACTTCACGCTCTGGGGCAGGCTTTTCACTGCTGATAGGATCGTTTGGTTCGGAAGGAGGGATTGAAATTCCATCATGAGTGGTCCGAGTCTGGTTGTGAAAAAAATAAGGTGGTGTCAGTAGAAATATTAGGGTGGGAGTCGTGTTCTATTGGAATAGGAAATTGCGAATTCTTAAATAGTACAGCTTAAAATTAATATCAAATTATTTTAACAAGATTAGTTAATTTAATTGATTTAAATTAACCGCATAAGCTTCAAATAAGCAAATTAATAATATTAAAATAAAATTACTGGAATTGTACCTCATGAAAGGCATAAGAATCTAAAATTGTCGAGCAAACTAAGGATATTAGTCCAATTGTAATCTCATATTTTCTAGTGAAGAAATTGAAGTTCAACAGACATTAACAACTCATTATCAATACATAAAAATTGAAGAAAAAAAACCATCAGTCGTAAATTACCCGAAGTGATCTTAATTGTTCGCTCAGAGCATCGCTGAATCAATACAAGCGTATTGTTATCAATTTTTTAAACCATGACTAATTCCATTTTGATGACTATTTTTTGGGTGATCGTTGAAAAATAGATTTTTCGAAAAATATCGATATTTTTTGGAGCTATTAAAGTCTAATTTCATTAAAAAAATTGAAGAAAATTTCGAAAAAAATCGCATATTCAGACTTTTTAGACCACATTCAGTTCTCTGTGTCACTGGAAATTTAATAAAGCGTACCCTAACACAAAAAATTGGAAACTTAAATTTGAGCGATTATAAAGCTTCTATTCGGAAGCAAAAATGGAAAATAAAGATGAGTGAGAGATTATGTGTCAGTAAATGAATTCAATAGAAAAAGAAAAAAAGTTCCTGAAAATTAGTGACAATACTCTGAAAATGTGATGATGTCCCTCAAAATTAGTGACTGTGTCACCGGAAATTCGTAACAAAATCCTTGAATTTCAGAATTTTATCCCAGGGATGGCCATCAGTCCTTCGATTCTTCCATATTAAAAGAATTTGCGACTTACATTGATCAAGGTTTAAATATACGAATCGAAATTAAAAAAATTGTAAACTAATCGATAATCTAAATTTCCAATTGATGATGAATTAAACATGTAATAATATGAAACTGTAAATTTTCTATTAAGTAAATAATACGAAATATCGTATCCAAATAATCCTCAATCTTCCTAACTAAATTACTGATTAATAAATAATTCGGAATTTGAATCCAAAATGATGATTACTTCAATAATAAAAAATTAAGAGTGATCTTAATGAATTGACGACTTAATAATTTAACTGTAATTATAATTTACGGAGATGGCCATCCCTGTTTTGCGCCCACTAAATTTTCCAATCGCGAACTCCTGAAAATTAGTGACCTGTTCCTGCAAATCAGTAGAACATTCCTGAAAATAAACTCCTTTTCTCCGTGAATGAACCACAAACCTCGCATTTTGGTACGACGGAACCTCCTCATAATTATCGAGAGGATCACAGGGGTTGCCAACGCTGCAGATATAACTCTGCACGAAAGGCAGTAGGCCATCACGTGGCATAAGCCTCGCTGGAAATTGGCAGGTGGGATTGTACTCGGGCTCCACATTGTCGCGGACAACATACAACAGCATAAATATCACGACGGGCCAGAGAAATACGAGACCAAGGATTGCCTGTGGAACATTAGAAATATTTAATAGCCTCGTCAAATTGCCCGTTGTACTGGTGGGAATCATCAGAGTGATTAGCGATATGTTTGATCATTGTTAGTATTATCGCCAAGGTCTGAGTAATTTCATCTTTTCTCGTCGCTCATTTTAATCCCGTAGACGTGAATTATGAAGGAACTGCATTCGATCATTCGGAAAAAAGAGACGTGGAGAAAAATAATGGAAGGGAACTCACCGGTCGCCGCTTCCGGACTACATAATTCTTCCAGAGGAGGAGGCCGAGCTGGTCGGCCCCCATTTCTCAAACATGAACCCCTAAAATCCAAAAATTCCTTTAGTACAGACTCGCTTCATTGTTTATTATGCATTAAACGGGAAGTACATAATTCCTGGGTTTTTTTCTAAGTTCACGTGCATTTTTCATTCTTAACTATGTTTACATCAGTTTCGGGGAGATGTATATGCAGAAGTTAATGCGGAGTTTTTCTCAAAAAATAAAATGATAAATTCCGTGGTTAATATTTCTCATTCACTTCCGCATAATTCGAATGAGATAACTAAAAATATACAGGGGTATATAATTTTCATTAGTAGAGGCTCACATGCATTTTTTATACATAGTACGAGGAGTGTAAATTATTCTCGGTTTTTAAATTAATTTTGCGTGCGTTTTTCATTTCCGCGAAGTGAAAGTAAGTCCTTAACTTAGTTTTCGAGGAATATCTCTGAATCTAAGGGAGATAGAGAAATTTTTGTAATAACCTTTTTTGTAGAGCGAATTGATGCCTATAAAAAAGGTCATGACAAAAATGGTGCTATCTCACTTAGATTTCGAGATATTCATTGAAAACTAACTAATAGGCACATCGACTTTACGTTTTACTATTGCTTTGCTTCGGATTTTTAAATACGTTTACATCACTGTTGGAGGGATGTATATGCAGGAGTTAATGCGGCTTTTCCGCAATTTTCCATCTGCCGTGGCTGAATATGAATGCAAATGTGGGGAAATTACGTAACATTATATGGGCTACTTATTAAACATGAATGTTTCTAATTAGAAAATTACATTAATCTCAACTCACGTTATTGGTGATCATAGGCACTATATATATTGTATATTATATGGATATTAGGGATTTTCAATCATCAAATTTGGTTATCCAATTGGGTAAGAAAAATTGGAGAGAATTAAGTGTCATTCACGTCAAATTTTACAACAGTTGCACATTTTTTTTCTTTACAGATTCTCTTCGTATAAATAAATGATTGAAATTGTTCATACTTTCGTAAACATTATTTTTGTTGACACGGCTAAATTGATTGTGCATAAATAGTTTATGAAAAAATCTCGTATTCTTAAAAAATTTTCAATATTTCCTTGCAAAAATTGAAATTGTCCGATTTTTCTATGGATTTTCCTCGTAAAGTCCTGTTCCTTATTCTTGTTAAAATTTTGAAATGGTTTTACGCACGAACAATTTTAATAGAAAAACTCAGTGAATTCACTAGACAATTCTATTGGAATTTTATTCAACTTATTTATTATTCTACTTTTATTATAGAAATTACCCTCACGTTCAGTAAATTTTCCCAGGCCAACGGAGAAAAATTCACTATTCGTCTCGCACGTTTTCCCCGACGTAGGGTGAAAAAGTACTGAAAGTCGAGTTCACGCCACGATTACTTGGCTTGTTCGGTAATTTTCCAACTATTTTCTCCGTGTGGAAGTTCAGATATTCTTACTACAGATATTGGTAAACATTCCATCACAAAAAAGTACTAGAGAACTTAAACATCCTCAACTTACACTGTGAGAAATTTTTAGAAATTTCACGGAAAATATGGTAAGAATTCTCATGGGAGTGACACTGAATCCGATGTAGGGGAAAAAAGGTTAAGAAATTTCACATCCTGACTAAATTGTCAACGGAACATGAATGTTTAGAAAGAAAATGCCATGAATTTTCAATCTTTCGGGGCAAAAAGGTATTTTATTGATCTCTGATCATTCAAACAGAAAATCAATGAAATATTTTATTTTTCAATGACGAAATTTCCTGAAATTTCAGTGGAAATTAAGCATGATAAAAATTTTCGGAATTTGACGCGGAAAATTCAGACGAAAATTTTTAACAGTGTACATTTAACAATTTATATCCCCATTAGTTTCATTCATCAAAACAATATTGAATAGTTTCTCCCTCAACCAATTATTCATTTTTAAAAATGAGTAACAAATGAGGAGAATCGTAATTTTACTAGTATTTCATAACATCTAAAATTCTATCACTCCATAAAAATGCAGTTGAATCCAGTAAACAAGACATTGTACAAGCTCTGTGAAATCTTTCACTCCATTCTCCCCAACTTTACCCCCAACTTTTGTATTCATAACACCTCGGGTACTTGAAAATTTCACCTTCATTTCACGTCTCTGTGATTTCCTGCGGGATAACGATTTGCAAACACAACAACTCCCATTGAATCTCGTAAATTCTCCCTCGTTATGTTTTTAATAAACGACATTTGTTTTTCCCAGCTCAAAAGCTATTCAATTATCAAACAAGTTATTTTGTCACAGTGGTGCAGGGAGAAAAATTTTTGATAAAAATTACCCTACCGTTCTATAAAGATGTATCATAAGTCATCGTTTCCTCATTTCTGTCCCGAAATATAGTAAGAATTAATATATGATGATCAAATTTTATTCTACCTTAGAGAAATTTTATCCTATCGCATAATAAATTTTACCCTTCCAGTCCAATAATTTTTATGTAGATAACAACGAAAATTCTAGAACGGTTGGTAAATTTTACCCTACCGGTACAGTAATTTTTCCTCTACCGCCACGGTAATTTTTATTTTTATCAGGATGAAATTTCTCTAACGTAAAATCAAATTTGATCATCATACATTAATTTTTACTAAATTTCGGGATAGAAATGAAGAAACGATGACTCATGATAGACTTTTCTACAGCGGTAGGATAATTTCTATCAAAAAAATTTCTCTCCGTGTGCCACGCGAATACGCAACCGGAAATATTTCCCGCTTTTCCGTCGGATGGGGATTGGAGAAATGCAATGAAATGCTCAATGACATCACTTCAATGCTCAATTTATTAACATGTCATGAAGCGTGAAACTTTCACTGCTGTAATGTTACTGTGGAATCGGGTGACTCTTGACAATTCCCGGCGTTTGAACAGACCCAACAGTCAAACGACTCGACGACAGTGTGTCAACTTTCGTAAGCGGTGCACAACATACCACAAATTGCGTGACTCCAAATTCAATTGATCCGATGATCGAACTGTATCATCAGACCTCTGTAATGTGTGTCGTACGCTTTTCGTTGGATAAATTCGTGGAACATTATTCGGGGTACTTGGTTAATTATTGTTATTCCTAGCATATTCAATTAGTATTTTGATTCCTGAGTAGAGAAGACCGGGGCAAAATGAGACGCCAGTGAAATTTGAGTTTTTATTATATAAATGATTGATTTTTCTACAGTTACTGATGAATACCCCGTTGTTAGTAGGGAAGAGTGGGGCAAAATGAAATATGGGGTAAAATGAAACAGTCAAAAAAACGACTATTTAACGCAATTGAAAGAAAAAAAAATTTTTTTTAATATTTTTTTTATCAACTTTTTTTAATTCTTGGGAATATTAATTGACGAGAATAATAATTTTCCATTCAGTAGAATAGAAAATTATTGAGAAGTTTTGACGGGCGAAGATTTTGTCGATAGATTAATTGAAAAGAAAACGCAACAGTAAAATCCAAAGTCCTGAGCAAGACCCAGGGGGAGATCCAGAGGGAAAAAGGAAAATGAATCAAAACTTCTATTGAACTTCTGTTGAATGGAAAAAAAGTTGACAAAAAAAAATTTAATAAAGAAATTTATTTTTGTTTGAATTGCGTCAAACATTCGTTTTTTACTGTTTCATTTCACTTCTGGGGATATTTTCGATGATCACTACAAAAATTAAATTTTTATGAAAGATATTAAATTTCCTTCTATCAAGTTGGTTAATTTCCCTCAAGTCAATCTGTTCATTTCGTTTTACAGTTTTTCCGCAGAGAGAACTCACAATGAAACTGAAAGTACCGGAACATTCGCCAGCGGAAGATGCAGTATACGAGATTTTTAAGGGTCTGACAGTCAAACAATGCGTACAAATGTTTTTTAAGTGCGACAGAGTTTACACATGCCTCAAAAACACTTGTACACCTCTAAATTTGCCGTAGTCAACTGCTCCACTGACGAACCATCCGCATTTCCGTTTCTAAACCCACAAGTGAATGTAAAATCACAGCACGTGGGGCGGCAATTCATTGATTCCAGCGTTCCCCAAATTAAAAATAATTCAAAACACCCAACAATTGATCGTATTCAAGCCGTCTTCCCACAAGGAACTCATTGGTGGAGTTCACAGTCCAAGGTCACGAATCTGCATAACTACAATCCAAAGAACACGGGAATCCGATGGCCGCGCGAATCCACTCATTAACATTGCAATTAAATAAACTCTCACCTGAGGGCCTATAAAAAATTATCCTGCACCAGCAAATGGAGCATTCTCGTTGAACCACCGGCACTGACGAGCCCAATAATTGCAGCAGGGCAAAAAAAATAATTGAAAAGGATATTTGCAAATGTTCTTTCCTTGCTTCACCTCGAGTCCCACTCACTATCCATTCATTTATGTAACTACAATTTTTTTCCCCATTTTTTTAAACTAAATAATTGTCCTCACAATTCAATGTACACGCTTTATCACACAGTTGTTCCTTTCAAGCAAGCCAACGTTTTGTATATTCTGTGCGTGGATTGGTGCAGCCGGTTGGACGGTTCGTGCACGACTGTTAGTGCCCTGACCGCAGGCAAACATCAGAAAACTCAAGCAGTCCGGTATCAAAGGACCACATGGACTAGCAGAACAGACCCAACACTCGACACAACACAACTTTCCCGATGTATTCTTCAGCCATCCCATATCCATGACCCACTCACCCACACACACACCGCCTTTCTCCAACTGTGTAGCAGTTGGTGAAAAAATCCCCCAACTTTTTAATCTACGAATCCAGTAATTTTGATGCATTAATCAATCGATGACTGCGATTGATTGATCTTCGCGCTCTTTCCATTACTTGGTCGCTGGAATATGCGGCAAAACAATGGAAACAGGAGGCGGTGTTTTTATTTCTATCATGCTTGCGAAATCTAAAAATAGACACAGGATACCGTAGCTGTGTGAACCAAAAAAAGTAAAGGGAGCAAAAGGTAAGAAACCAGTCTGGCAGGCTAAACGAATCGTTCTCGTGTATTTTATGTATTGCCTCTGACTTCACAGAAGACCCGGTGGAATGGTTCAAGTATGGCTGGGCAGCCTTGTGGCGTAAACTAAGATTAAGGTTGGTTATCGTGAAAAATGAGCCTGCTGGTGGGTTTTATATTTTTTGGGAATGATGGGCTGAAGAATTCAAGTTGCTGGGATTTTTTAGGTGAAATTGTCAGGGACGATTGGTGGAAATGAAGGGGTCTAGGAATTTTCAGGGCCTTGGAGGGAATCCTTCGGTAGCGCTGGAGCCTGCATGCGCGGAGAAAAATTAAGGAACGAGTAAAAGAGTCGGGGAGCGAACTCGATTTTCAGCACTTTTTCATCACATTATCCGTAAAATGACGTTTACGGACATTGTGGAGTAAAATTATATTCGTCACTCGGTCCAAAACAACTTTTCTGACTTGTGTGATTGCATTCCTCGGCTTCGCCTCGATCTACAACCCTCACACTTGCCAGAAAAGTTTTTATCGGCCTTGTAAAAATAGCTATTTCACTTCATATCGGAGATAAAGTGCGAGATGACTAGTGAATTTTTCTCCGTTGGCCGAGGAAAACTTACTGAACGTGAGGATAATTTGTGCCGAAACTGTAAAATTTACTCTGCATTACACCAAAAATTATGTCACACTGTTAGAAATTTTTTGAAATTTCATGGAAAATATGATAGTAATCTCATGAAAGGGACATTGAATCGGATTTAAGGGAAAAATGGTTATGAAATTTCAAGTTTTAGGTAGAATTCAAAGAAATTCAGGAGCTTTCAGGGGTAGTGATATGGAAATTTCACAACTTGATTGAATTTTCAATGGAACATGAATATTCAGAAACAAAATGATATGAATTTTAAATTTTTTCCTGAATTTTCCGGATTTTTCTGAATTTTCACGGAATAATTTACATAAAGTAAAGTATTTTATTGATTTCCAGATCATTCACATAGAAAATCACTGGAATATTTGAATTTTCAATGACAATATTTCCTGAAATTTCAGTGGAAATTAAACACGATAAAAATTTCCAGGATTTGGCACGCAAATGCAGACGAAAATCTTTAATACTGCCATGAACGTGCATGATTGCCCAATATTGCGTATAATTTCTCTGCAACGGAGAATGATTTTTTACCGCACACGTTCGGTGAAATGTCACTTTCATACGTCTCCATAGCCTTCAGATGGTTGCAAGAAAAAAAATACTGTCCACGAGGATAATTTTTGTATCCCTAGGTAGTTTTTTCTACTGAACGAATCGTAAAATATCCGACATAAACAGGTATTCTTTCATTGAATTACATTTCACTCCACGATTACCTTTTGCACAACTTTTCTCTCCGCATAAATGATACGGCCGTGAATCCCTGCGGAGGTGACCAAGTTCCAGGGTCGCATATGGTGCATTCAGAAAAATGGTTTATTTGAATGAAATAAACTTTATTCTCAGACTGTCCCATATTCATTTCATATATGATTACATAAAATCTTGTTATTTTTTCCTACTCAACCATACGATGCTCTTAACTATCCAAATATGGATTTATTTATTCATTTTTCTTTTTTTCTCTTTTTTTACTTTAGAATGGAAGTTTTGTAATCGTTCATATTTAAGTTCTGGATTTTGTGTGGTACGAGATCGGCCGCGCGTGCTGCGCACGCGCCTTCTCATCTCCTCTCGTAGTGGCGCTTCGGTTTCAGTCATACTCTTACGCTTATTCGAAATTTTTGAGATATTTCGGGATCGATTTCTTTTCTCCTTTTTACGATAGGATACTTTTGAGAGTTCTGGATAGCCCGTCGCTTAAATAGTTGGAATCAACGTTCACCTGGCTAGAAAATTCAATGTTGGCGAAAGTCGACTTTGCCCCTGGAAAAATCCAAGATCTGACACTTTGGCCCTCGGTGAAAAAAAAATTTCTTCAATTTTCACTTTTTCTACATACTTTTGAGAGTTCTAAATAGCCTGTCGCTCAAATAGTTGGAATCAACGTTCACCCGACTAAAAAATTCGATTTTGGCGAAAGTCGACTTTCCCCCTGGAAAAACGAAAAATCTGACCCTTTGAAAATCTGAAAAAAAAATTTTTTCAGTTTACACTTTTTCCACATACTTTTGAGATTTCTGAATAGCCCGTCGCTCAAAGAGTTGGAATCAACGTTCACCCGGCTAAAAAATTCGATCTTGGCAAAAGTCGACTTTCCCCCTGGAAAAATCCAAGATCTGACACTTTGACCTTCGTGACCCTTGTGACCCTTTGACCGACTTTCCCTCTGAAAAAATCCAAGATCTGACACTTTGGCCCCCGGTGAAAATTTTTTTTTCAGTTTTCACTTTTTCCACACGAGATCGGCCGCGCGTGTTGCGCACGCGCCTCCTCATCTCCTCACATAGTGGCGCTTCGGTTTCAGTCTTGCGCTTACGCTTATTCGAGATTTTCGAGATATTTCGAGATCGATTGCTTTTCTCCTTTTTACGATAGGATGTCGATCCAAGATGATCCATAAAGTCCGAAAATGCAGGAAATGATGTGCAAGAAAACCATTCGGAGACATATTGCTAATTTATTAGCAAACATATCTATACTATGTGCAATACAAGACCAATTTCCCACTTGTTTCGTCTTTTTTTTTCTTTCATTTTCTACACTCTACAATGAGTGCTTCGTATATAATATGTAAATAATAGGCTAAAGGTATTCGGGCAATGACCAGTGACAATCTTCTTGTGACGAATTCCGTTTAAAATAAAATAAAAAGTAAACTTTACTCGAATCAAATGAACGATTTACTCTATTCAAATAAAGTTCATTCATTCAAATAAACCCTTTTCATGGGCGTGAGAAAAAACTGGGGCTAAACGGAGCGAGAATTCCCCCATCACAACCCATGGAATATGTTTAAATATTCCTCTATCATTACCCCAGAGAAATTTAACTACAAAATTAAAATTAAATTGAATTAATACCGCACATCTGCCCAATCATTCGTATTTTTAACACAAATTCTCACGGGGTTGTTCTTACTCGACGGAAAAAATAATGCACCGAGGGCGTAAAATTACACAGAGCCCGAGATTACTTTATCTCGACGGAAAGAACACAGAGAGATCAGGTGCACCTCGCAAAAATTTTAACTGGCTGACGGATTCACAAAGAAGGAAAAAAAAAATTACTCCCATTAAAAGTTTAACGCATGATGAATTGGACTCGTGGACTCATTAATGAAACTTTTGCTTTGAGTTTCATTTTTTTTTGTGTTGTTCAGTTGCCGGAAGTTAACGAAACGGTAATTCACGCAAATTGCACAGATGTTTTTTTAAATTTTTGATGTAAAGAAGAAGGTGTACAGCGAGGAATGAAGAATGAATTGCCAGGGAATGGAATAAAAATGGGGAGTCTGGGGTACTTTAACCATCACCTTGTCCCTAATGGTTAGTCGTTGAGTTACATATTGCGATATTGAGTTTACGATTGAAATCACATACCGAGGGAAACAACCGTGCACTATCCCCCGGATAATTAATGGCAATTTCGAGTGACGTAGGAGCTGAGTGCTCCGGATGTCGAGTGAGTTCTCTGGGCAATCGCAAAAGTTGCTGCACCAAACTCGACGAATTTATGAGGATTGTTTCACCAACTGGACGATGGAAAATTAGCTCTCTCGTATTTTGGTTTTTATTTGCTCAGTTTCCACTTTGTTGCTGAGAGTGAATGATAATTTTCATATCTCAAACCTCGGGAAACGAAACGTCCGGCTCGTGTACATTTGATATCTGCTTTCGTCTCGTTTTATCGGTGACTCTCACTTCTATTCGGGGAATCGGAGGGAACTGATTGTGAGAGATGTGCTTTGCAGGCACATTTGCTTGGGGTGACTGGTTTTGGGGAGGCGTCTTATTCGTTGCGGTGAAATTGCTCTTGTATTGTGTATAGTATAGTGATTTATGCATAATTCATTGTTTATTTCGTTTTGTTAAATTGAATGAGATTTACTTTTATTTAATTTTGTCAGATTTTCAACTTAGTTGAATGTTATCAACATCATTATTCTTATTATCCATTTTCTTCTACACAACCGATCGTCTTTTTTACAGTTTTATCTCTCCCCTCAGCCCTTCGATAAAATGTTAATAGAAAAATTTTATTTACACGTACTTGAATGAATTTGAAATATCATATTTATATCATAAAATTTATATTTTGAAAAATATATTAAAAAATTTCTTAAATTGGCCACAACTTATATTAAAAAACTTCTATTTTAAAAAATTATAATTTATATTTTTTATATATTCTTTATAAATTTGAAAAATATATGGAATTGGCCCATATTATGCATTTTTTTATATATATTTTGTGATGGGGGAACCATCAGAAAGCTCACTTTCAGGGAAATTCATGAAAAATTCAAAATTTTCAACAATCATCATAAAAATCAGATCAACCAATATAGCTATCGTAATCATCTTTTAAATTTGACTTAATGGCATTAAAACAAACATTTTACGTTATGATTGAATTCAGTTGAAGCATGATATTCCAAGATATCCCCAGAATTCTAATTTTCGAAAAACACTAAATTTTTGAAAATTTTCGAATAAATAAAAATAACGATTATTCCTATCGAACTCGGTCAAAGGTACATCCAAACAAATTTTTTAAGCCATCATTCAATCAATTCCGAACATTTTTTTCGTTATCGTGGGACAACCGATTTTCGAAAAAATTAAAAAATTAAAAAAACTAATTGATGAATTAAATTTTAATTAATGGTGATCGACAGGGATAAATAATACCTACGTCTGAAAAAAAAAGATTCAATTCCATTCATTCATTAGTGAACAATTGAAGAAAAAGTGTATCACATACATACGTACGGACACGGTCTAAAAATTGCAATAATTGCAAAAATTGCGATATAACCCAAAATATTCAAAACTTAAATTTGAACGATTACAATGCTTCCATTCGAAAGCAAAAGAATCTTTATTTTGAGACTTTCAATGGGATCAAATGAAGATTTTCAAATCTCAATTTGAAATTTTTTGCCGGAATTGTAAGAAGTGCTTTCATATCCTCTAGAACATTTGGGAGAGAATAAATTATCCATTTCAGTGCCGTATTCGTAGAAAAATATCAATCCACATCTTATTTATATCCTCAAAACAAGTTCTCCGGAATTGATTGTTGTCTCCAATATTCATTAATTATTAATGACACATTATAAATACCTTAGTCATACTTAACTCTAATGAAACTTGGATGTTGACGTTGAAGTGAGACTGAGATTATAATTGTAAATGGATGCAAAAGTTGCAACCCAGAGTTGCAAGAGAATTATTCACTACAGGTCGCATTGGCCACTGGGAGGGCGAAACTTGCGGTGCACTGACGAAAGATACGACGGGATTATTATAATAGGACGGGATGGTCACCTGAGGCATAGAGCACGCGGGACCATTTCTTTTTCCATTCGAAACAAGCGAGGAAGTGGATAAATTGCGAAAACAGCGAGGAGGAATCTCTTACCCTTGAGATAATGAGCATTCAATCGAGTGACATTTCTCATTTCCTGGTGTATGATTCAATGATACTGCACGAAGAGACAAGTTGGACAACAATCATTCATTTATCATTCTATTTTATTCATTATTTATTTATTTTAATCTCGGCATATTTTACTCTGCGAAAAGTAGGGGAGAGTGAGGCGAAATGAAACAGTCGAAAAATGACTTCTTGACGCAATTCAAGCAAAAAAATTTTTTTTTGTTAAATATTTTTTTTAATCAGCTTTTTTTTATTATTTGAAGTACTGATGAGAATAATAATTTTCTATTCGTTGTATAATTCAATTGATTAGATTGGGCCGATCACACTTTTCTTTTTTCATTCGATTGAAATTCAGCATCACATTCTCCTTCATTCATTTGGTCATATTCAACTCTACCATTCGTTAATAGTTAACGAATCTTGTTTGGAATAAATGATCATTCTGTCAGTGTAAACTTTCGATGTTTTTTTAGACTGTGATGATCTTTCCAAAATAATTCTCGTCTAGTCTCGACGGCATCACTAAACGTAATGCAAAATTAAAATGATTTCATTACATACCAAATCAGTTAACTGTATTGTACAATTTTTTCATTTTTATTAAATTAATAATCAATCAAAATCTTCAATTTTTTAAATCTTTTATAAATCAGTCATTGACTTCGTCAGATTGACGATTAAGTGATTAATCGAAGTATCAAATTCAGAAAATTATAATTGGTGAATAATAATTGAGAATGGAAAATTATTTCCAAGGTCCAATAAAATTTTGTGAAATTTAATTAATTTATGATGAACTTCTTTTAATATTTCTAAAATAGTGATTTTTTCCGATCTCTGGCTTGAGACAAATTCTGTTTTAGAATAAGAGAACCATCAATTTATCATTAATAAATAATGCATTAATAATAACAATAATAACTAACAATAACGAAAAATATTTTTTAAATAAATTCTTGTTCTGCCGTCTGAACAATAATTTCGTTTCTAATTAATAAACTCTTCATTTGAACCTAAAAACATTTGTTTGTATTAAGAAAACCTTCTTTCATGTAAATAAAAACCTAAATATTTATCAAGCCCCGTTTCAATAAACGCTTCATTAAAAACTATTTCGAAGAACCGATGTATTTGATCCAAAAGAAGTTTATTCAATGCAAATGAACGATTACTGTGGGACTATCCGGGTTTGATAATTGTCGTTGCGTTATTGTGATTGTCGGTAATTTTATGATTCCACGTGATCATGTAATACCGTCGTAAAGAGGGAATCATATCTTCCAAGTTTGACATTTTATAATTCTTGTATTTTCCTACGTGCATGAAAGTTGATATGTCATGGCATGAGATAAGAGCGAAAGACAGTTCTTCCTCAGTTATCCTGATGCCGCCATCTGTTCAATTGTCGCGAAACATTCGTGAAGCACTCGGTGGATACGCTGATATATGATCGCAAAAACTATAATTTATGAAAAAATTCAAGGACAATTGTGATTGAAATTGAATTTTTTTATACGTCGAAACCTTCCATTTGCATATGAAGGCATGCGTTATCAGTAATTCTACGATTTGTTATTGACAACTATATTAAACAGTTCTTATTGATATGAACTTGCATCAAAAAAATTATTTTCTTAAGGATATCTAGGAATCACTTAAATTAAAATGCATTCAATTAAATTGCGTGAGAAAAATTTGAAATCGGGAATATTCAACGTCATTCATATTACATTTGCACAGAATTATTATTTTTTAAACATTCGTTGTTTATAAATTATATGTAGAAAATTGCAATTGTTAAATTATCTCATCAATCTTCCTACAAAAGAAAGATTCAATTTTTTTCAGATGTTTTGAATGTTTTCTAATATTACGGTTCAACACTGTTAACAATTTTCGTCTGAATTTTCCGTACCAAATTCCGGAAATTTTTATCGTGCTCAAGTTTCACTGAAATTTCAGGAAATGTTGCCATGGAAAATTCAAAATTTCGTGGAAAAATGAAAAAGAACTGTAAATTTCTGTTCCACTTTTTCCTGAAAATGAATAGAAAACCGGAAAATTCTGGTAAATATATTCTTGAATTTTCAGGACAGTGACACTGAATGCGATTTAGGGAGAAAAAATCATGTATTTTCAGATTTCACTGAAAATTCAATGTCATTTGACACTGAATATTCATATTAGATTGGAAATTCCAATAAATTAACGAATTGTCGTCTTTATGCCGCTTAAAAGTCTGGAATTTTGCTGAATTTTCAGTGAAACCAGAAATTTCATTATTTTTTCCCCTAAATTTCATTCAGTCTCATTGTCCTGAAAATTGGTAGTCATTTTTTCCAACAGTGAATATTAAGATTCAAATTCAGACCTGTAAAGTTTAAATAATAAAATCATTGTAAAATGTCCGGAGATTTAGCGTCAAATGCGACTCAAATGAAAGCTCTGATGTAACGATGACAAAAACAGAAGAGCATTTCACTGGAGAAAAAATAGCCAAACTACTTGGATATCCTTAAGAATAACAAATATTCATCTTATAGATGAGGAACTTCCATCAGTTTAATATCATCATCCAACTCAGTGAAAAAATCCATCAAAACAAAATTCATCACTCAGAATGGTATCACCTCTGTTGTGAATTGATAAATTGTGATAAGTGCTTTTTTTTCGAAAATGCGTTTTTGGTTCAATCAATTCCCAACAATTTGTGGAAGTGATTAGACCAAAAAAATCGACAGAAAATGCACTCATCCTAGCTTACCAATTCACGACAGAACTCCCGCTGGTGAGTTGTGACATTCCGCAAATTTCGAAACCTCTCGATAAACCCTTCACCACACTCACCCATTGGAGTACTCCGCATAATAGTTTCTCTTTTGAAATCAACCCCACCAGCTGCTCATGCGCCTCAGAATTCTGGTCTTAGTCGAGTTTAAAGCGCCTCACAGAATACACTGATATTTTCAATTCATAAACAAAACCGAGCCCATTTGTTTCGAGAGTGACTGAGTGAAGGGAATATTATTATAAATTCCATACAATTGAAAACTACGAGGCATTTTCAGTGGCTGATGTTTGTGAATTTAAATGTGAAAATTGATCCCCTCCTCAAACACTTCCGGATTGCTGAAAGAGTGAACGGTTTTGCGGAGTGAAATATAATATGGCCTGTCCAAATGGAAATGAACTGTAAGTTTTTTAATGAAAGAAACAGCTGAATATTTTTTTTTCGCCAGTTGTGAGTGGACACGTGAGTTCAAAAATATATTCCCTCCGATTATTTTCCCGGCGAGACACGTAATATCGTATGATCAATTTCAATTCTATTTTTTTTAATTGAAATGGCTGAAATGTTATTCAATCCGTTTTTAAATTTAATCATCTTTGATATTCATTCACTAATTCTAGAGGATTATCTATTGCAAATTCTATCTGTTTTTCACCAATTCCATTGAAATTTCTCCTTTTGAACTAGAATTTTCTTGAAAGAAATGAAACTATTTATTCTTTATTATAAAATAGTTCGAGTGAAATTTTTCCAACTAAATTTTTAATAAATCAAACAAGTTTTAATTAAACGGAGAGAAAAGTTCGTTCATTATGGCAAATTTTACAATAAGAAAAGTAACCGTGGAGCGAAATGTAATTCAGTGGAAGAATATCTGTTTGTGAAGGATATTTTACGATTCGTTCGGAAAAAAGTCATTCTCCGTTACAGAAAAATTATACGCAATATTGACCAATTTTCCGTCAACTTTTTTTTCCAAGTAGAATTCCGAGTAGAAACCATATCCATAAATTATAATTACCGTTAAATTATCAAGTAGTCGATCAATTAATATCACTCAAATTTTAATTATTGAAGTAATCATCAATTTAAATATTCAAATTCCGCATTATTTATTAATTAGTAATTTAGTTACGAAGATTGGCGATTATTTGGATAATCGGAAATTCCTTAAAAGAAATTTAGGATCATTCACTAATGGAAAATTTGCAGATCCACATTATTAGATATTTAATTCACCATCAATTGGAAATTTAGATTATCAATTATTTTAGTATTTTTAAATTTTGATTAATTTATTTAAGTCTTGATCCACGTAAGTCGGAAATTCCTTTAATATTGAAGAACTTGAAGATTGACTCAATATCTATAAATTATAATTACCGTTAAATCAGATCAATAAATTAGATCATCAATTATTGTAATATTTTTAAATTTCGATTAAAATATTTAAATGTTGATCAATGTAAGTCGGAAATTCCTTTAACATTGAAGCATCGGCAGATTAACGGCCATCCCTGCTGCTTAATTACTTTCTGTACACTTTTTGTAAATTTTTATTCGTCACGTCAAACTAAAATGCAAAACTTCCACAAAGTAATTCAACTTATTACTCAACCCTCCCCCCGAACCGAATGAAAAATAATGGCCCGTCATCCATTAGATATAAATATCGAGCATAATAATGACGAAAGACAAAGTAGTCGATAAACTATTGACCCAGAATTTTCACGAGATAGATGCAATATTGACCTTGTATAATATCTACGAGGCACGAGGTCATGATCCCGCACGAGGACGATAACACAACTCCCCATATTTCGGCGATATTTCCTCTTAATGTCATAATTCATGCGTACGTAGATACGACGACAGCAACCAAGATGGAGATCAGTTAACTGATGGCCCAGGCAAGGGTCTCCTCTACGCTGAATACCTGCGTCTGGACAAGATCCTTTCGGCACAAACATTGCTCAGCGCTGTTTACGATAAAGAGGTTCATGATGAACATCTCTTCATCGTCACACATCAAGGTACAAACGGATATTTTCCCTTTTTTCAGGAGAATAAAACTACTACTCAATACATTTACATATTCCAATGGCAATTGGTACACATAAATACTCCAAAGAATTTTTCGAGGAAACTGAATTATTTCGTTATTCAACTACACGGAGAGAAATGTTTTATAAAAATTATACTACCGTTCTGTAAAAGTGTATCGTGACTTATCATTGCCTCATTTCTATCCCCAAATTTAGTAAAAATTGATATATGATGAACAAATTTTATTCTACGTTAGATAAATTTTATCCTGAGGCATATTAAATTTTAACTTTTCAGTCCAAAATTTCTTCAGTAGATAACAACGAAAATTCTAGAACGGTTTGTAAATTTTACCCTACCAGTACAGTAATTTTTACTCTACCGGCACGGTAATTTTTATTTTTATCAGGATAAAATTTCTTTAACGTAGAATAACATTTGATCATCATATATTAATTTTCACTAAATTTCGGAATACAAATGAGCAAACGGTGACTCATGACACACTTTTATAGAACGGTAGAATAATTTTTATCAAAAATTTCTCTCCGTGTACAATGGGAATTGAAATCAACAAAAAATTTATCCCTAAGTTACAAGATTGCTATCATATCATTATTATTGTTTCATTTAAGGGTTCATTTCTTGTCTGTGATTATTAGACAGTCGAAACGTAAAACTACTATCCCTTGTTTCGTCCAAAACAAAGATTTTTTGGCTGCAAAATACGTATGGGAGTATCGAATAACGAAGGAGTGGTGCTAGAAATGACATTTCTTGCGTGTACAGAGAATGCAATTTTTTTTGAACCACTAAATCTATTTTTGCGACAAAAATTTTTCATTTTGGCGCACTCTGTGCACTTTGGCACAAAAAATCCTTTTTTGATAATTTTCAAAAATTATTATTTTCTAATTACTATTTTCTTGGCACAAGTAAGACTTGTTTGAGAACTATGTTGTTTATCTCTCAGTGTGGGTCACGCTAAGTGCTGGTGAGGCTTGACAATTTAAGAATAAGTGCTTCATCACACGTTGAGTCTATATCATATGATCACCCCATAAACGAAATCTAAAGAAACTACTTTTAGAAGAAAAAACGTAGAATGAGAGGTTCCGTACATCTACATGAGCACCTGTAGTGACAGTTCAAAACGTGACTCTCTAATTTTATAATCTTTACGAGGGATAATGGCCAGTTTTTTTCATACTATCTACCTCCTAATACACAAAACGTCCGGATTAAAAGGGATAACGGCCCGTAAAACCTGGAAGTTGGACGGGCCGTCATCTATTAAAAACATAGAACATAGAACATGAAGTTTTGGTTGGATTAAAAGTGCGATAGCTCAAAGAGATTAAATTCATTTATACCAACCAGTTTCCGCCCCAAATTATGTCGAAATACTTCAAGATTAGCATATAACAATGTAATATTTACCTGTCAGTATCCCTGAAAAATTGGAGTTGTTATATTAGCTAATTAACAATATTATTCATTACTGCTGTGATTATTATTATTACTTATCGTTTATTATTGATAGCTTACGAACTATGGTTCAAACAAATTATCTACGAACTGGACTCGGTGAGAGGACTATTCAGTCCAGAGAAGGATCTCACGTCAGATGGTAATGATGGGATATCGGAAGCTTTGAATTACCAGAGGCTGGACGAGTCTAGAACGTTGGAGATCCTCAAACGACTGAACCGCATCGTCCTTATATTGAAAGTAATTAACAGGAAATTAATACAGAGGAAATGAGTGAGACACTGTTCTCGCTGGAGAAGATGGTGACATGAACGATTGCACAGGGAGAGAAAAATCTGTTGATAATTACTCCTGAAAGATCGAGGGTAAATTCTAATGAAGAGTAATATTTCAAGCACGAATTTTACACAAGATTGTCATTTTTACGAAAATTATCCCATTTGCTACTTACAGTGGAGTTGTTTTTCTGTGGGTAGGGAACTCTCTGATTCATATGAGGTTTCGATTAAAATTCTTGAGGGACAAAAAATTAAAAAATGGGTTTTTTATCAATTTACGGTAAAACTTTTTCGTGGTCCCGATTACACCAGGCGCAAACTTTCATGTCATTATGTTCGCAAAGGGGGCAATGTTTCAGATTAATAGAGAGTTGTTGATCTCTTTCTATTGCTGGTCGCATCAGTCTTCACACAGAGAAAAAATCTAGGGAGCCACAGTATCTCGAAGTATAACGAGTGAGAACTCTTAAAATCAAGTGATTTTGCCATCAACTTTCGGTAATCCTAATGCTGAGAATCAGAGAAAAAATCCGCAATCTTAAGAATTTCGTCACTAAATTTCGATTTTTTTTCTTTATACAAAGGACACAATTGGATGTAAGAATAACTGAAATCCATTTCCATAGTTTCGTGTATGTTTTTCTCTTCACAGCAAAAACGAATGTCTGAATTTCACACACTTATTGTAGACATTTTTCAGACATTAATAAACGTCTGAATAAAATGAAAATTTGTCTGAATTTCAAACATGAATTAAGATGTTTGGGCAACTCTTCATATGGAATTAATGCACATTTTCATTTTATTCAGACGTTTTTTAATGTCTGAAAAACGTCTACAAAAGGTGTGTGAAATTCAGACATTGGTTTTTGCTGTGTTTGCCATGAATATTGAACTTCAATAAACTCGCATGATTTGAGAGTTGAACGAACCCCTGACGACAAGCCAATTAGGGTGAAGAGTGTGAGATTGAGACAGGTGTTTCGTTACCAGAAGGGCACTAATCGAATAAGAACCCTCCCCCGCACGTAGAATCCTTCCCTAATTTTTTCACCCATTCACAAATATCCACAGAGTGCATGAGGAAAAGTCACGAATGAAAGTCTCAATATAATTTTTCAAATTCTTTTTTCTCTCATTGTTTACCACTAGAGTCATTGATATTTCTCACCCGAACGAGCAATGAGGGATTTGTGGGAAGATAACTAGACGCCGTGTAAGTTAATACAAACCAGTTGAAACACGATACAATGAATAAAGAAGGATGGAAATAAGTGACACTTACGCCAACCACAGTTAGGCAATTCTTGGTGCTGTCCTGTTCGCGATATTCGTTTTGCCACAAAAATGAGGCGTACTAGGTTGCAATTCGCTCATTGGTTTAATTTTCCAGTGTAGAGTTATTTCGACATCGATAACGCGGGAATTCCGCGGGAATTTTTGCTGATGGAGCCCGTTATTTTTGAGGCTCATCTTTTGATAAGCAGCGTGTGGAAAAATTGGAAAATTAATCAGATTTTCTTCTTTAGTTTTTTTTATGTCAACACGAAAAAAAAATTGATTCAAGGATATTTCAGTAGCGAAGTGGTAAAAGGAGATAAGTTAATTTTGATTGCTGACCAGTTTTCAATCAATATCGCGGAATCCAAAGGAGATAGCAAAATTTTTGTAATGACATTTGTTGTAGCACTCAATCGGCTCCACAAAAAAGGTTGTGACACAAATTTCGCTATCTCCCTTGGATTCCGAGATATTGATTGAAAACTGATCAATAGTCAAAATTGACTTATCTCCTTTTACCACTTCGCTACTGATTTTATACTCGAATGGGGGATGGGTGTTTCAAATCGAGGATGACTGTTCCGTATCAGCCCGGGTTGTACCAAGCGCTCTCAAGTGTAACACGGACGAAAAAATTTAATAGAAAAACCTATCGAATTCGTTAGAAAATTCTATTGAATTTCTATTGAACTGTTCTATCAGTTTTTGGCCGATTCTATTGAAATGTTCAATAGAAAATATTCAGTAGAAAAAGTCAATAGAATTCTATTTTTCTATATAACTTATTCTGTTGAGATATTTTCTATAGAATTTCCTCGGCTCAAATTTTCTAATTTTTTTCGTTTGATTTTCTTGATAAGAAGAAAAGAAAAATAGAATGAAAAAAACTTAGAAAATTTGAGTTGAGCAAATTCTATAGAAAATATATGAAAAGAATAAGTTATATAGAAAAATCGAATTCTGTTGAATTTTTCTATCGAATGTTTTCTACTGAACATGTCAATAGAATCAGCCAAAAACTAATAGAAAGTTCAATAGAAATTCAACAGAATTTTCTAACGAATTCGATAGGTTTTCTGACCCTCATTTTTTAACCTCCACTTTTTGACCCTTATATTCTGATACTTAGTGCCTGATCCATAAATTACACTTAAGAGCCGATCTGATACAAAGAATCATTTTCGAATTCAAATCATCTTCGAAACCCATCCTCCAATTGAGTATAAAATATACTTGAATCGAGTATATTTTGCACTCAAGTCAGATATATTTTTTTTTCCGTGAACACTCAAAAGAGAAAAATGAAAATTCAAGGAAATTTGGTGGTGAGTCGTAATTAAGTTGAAATTGAAGTATAAACATGTCTCAAGGAGAGGGACGGTGGAAACCACTATCGTATGGGGCGTTTCCAAATGCCGGCAATCTTCGCGAGAAATCGCGAAGTTCGCACTTCGCGTTAAATCGCGATGTTAATATCATTGCGGGTAGCCGTAATTAAATTGAAAATGAATTTTCTTCACTTGAAAATATTCATCTCACTTGAAAATTCATATAAATTGTGGAATTTTCGTCTTTCTGCAGCTAAAAAATTGGGACTTTATTTGAATTCTCAGAGAAACTTGAAATTCCATCGACTTTTTCTCCTTAAATCAAATTCAAGGTCTTTTTCCGGAAAATTCAGCCAAATTTTCTTAACAATAATCAAAATCCATCGATTTTTTCCCTAAAATACTGTTGATTGATTTTTTTCGGACATGTTTTTGAATTGTTTTTTCCACCAGCTGCTGCTCAAAATATGGCTCAAAAAGTTCCAATTCAATGCCACTGTAATAACTATTTCTCGATGTTTTCCAGCTTCTTGTTGACCAAGTAACTATATTGGAAACTATGACACCTCTTGATTTCATGGCTTTCCGTGACTATCTATGCCCTGCGTCTGGCTTCCAGTCCCTCCAATTTCGATTGCTGGAGAATAAACTTGGGGTCAAGAGTGAGCATCGTGTACGGTATAATCAGTGTTACACAAGAGTTTTTGGTAAGCATCCTGAAGACGTTGATGCCATTAAAAAATCGGAAAGTGAGCCGAGCTTGAGTTCACTGGTGCAAAGGTGGTTGGGAAGAACACCCGGTTTGGAAGACACTTGTGACTTCAATTTCTGGGGAAAGTACAAAACTGCTGTGGCGCGAATGCTGGCTGATCAGGACCAAATTGCTCAAGTTAGAATCCTAATCTGAGAGAGAAAGCGACATAATATCACAAAAATTAATTTCTTGAGTGGAAGAGATCTCTTGAGAACACTATAAAGTGAGAATTTGGTGTGGCAGGAGATGAGAAAATTACTGATAAGTGCACAATTGCTTTCGTCACAACATAATCAATATATTTTTACTAAGAAATTTGTAATTTGTAGCGAAACGGTTAAACCGTTTAAGTTGATTACGACTATTGGCCAGTTTTCAATGAATATCTCGAAATCTAAGGGAGATAGCAAAAATATTGTCATGACCTTTTTTATAGCCCTCAATTTTCTCTACAAAAAAAGTTATTACAAAAATATCGTTATCTCCCTTAGATTCAGAGATACTCCTCGAAAACTCAGCTAAGAATTAAATCGACTCGAACCGTTTTACTGATTCGCTACTGATATTGGTTTCAAAATAATTTTTTTCAACAGCAGATGATGCAATCTCATGATCGAACTCGATCAAGATGGCATTGGGAAGAATATTTTAAATTACAATCCAATTAACAACTCAATTGATTGAATACATGCGCTATTTTCTTGAAACGAGGAATCATTTTTGTGATATTAGATCGTATACCGATGTGTCCGACCGCCTGTTGCATTCACGATTGATCAACGATCATTTCAATTCACAGGGACAACCGAAAGACCCAGTGCGCAAGCACATGTGTGCAAATGTGGCGGCCAAGAGAGCGATTTTCGAAACTGTTTTCAATGAACCTCTTCACAATGCCCTTGTAGCCAGGGGCGAACGACGGTTTTGTCACGCTGCACTCAAGGGCGCTATCATGATTACGCTTTACCGTGATGAACCGAGATTTAGTCAGCCCCATCAAATACTCACGGCTTTGATGGACATAGATTCTCTGATTACAAAATGGAGATGTGAGATCATTTTTCTGTTCTTTTCGTCATGAAAATCAAACGAAAAAATTGCAGGCGGCTGTATCTTTGATATAACTGTAATTATACGTGGATAGGCCCATGGTCTTTCCTACTTTCTCGAATTTCCTAAAAACTCCTTGCATTTCCTCGAATTTTCTAGAAACTCTTTGAATTTTCTCAAATTTTCTAGAAACTGAATTTTTTCGAAGTTTCAAGAAACTTCTTAAATCACCTCGAAATGTCTCCAATTTCCTAGAAACTCCTTGCATTCCCTCGAATTTTCTGGAAACCCCTTGAATTCTCTCGAATTTTCTAGAAACTCCTTGAATTCTCTCCAATTTTCTAGAAACTCCCTGAATTTCCTCGAAATTTCTAGAAACTCTTTGAATTTTTTAGAAATTTCAAAAAACTTCTTAAATTACCTCGAAATGTCTAGAATTTTCTAGAGTTCCGATAGATGGCGCTGCACATAAGGACCATTTCCCAAAATGACCCCCCCTATTGAAACCATAGACGTATCCACGTCAAAAAATTAGAAAAATTGAGCCGTGGAAATTCTATAGAAAATATCTGAATACAATCAGTAGTATAGAAAAATTGAATTCTATTGACTTTTTCGACAGAATATTTTATAATCTATCGAACATTTCAATAGAATCGGCCAAAAGCTAATAGAAAGTTCAAGGGAAATCCAATAGAATTGTCCAGCGAATATGATAATTGTCTACGAAAACTATCATGTTGTCATGCAATGATACCTAATCAATTCATTGAATTATATTGCACAGATAATCACGTGATTATGGTGCAGAGGATGATTGGCTCCCAACAATTCGGTACGGGTGGTTCTTCTGGCTATCACTACTTGAAATCAACCCTCAGGTAAAGTGTCACAACCACTAACCCTCAAGAGTGTATTTTACGATTTCACGAATAAAAAAATTGGTAAAAAAGTTCATTCCTCCTTTATGGGTAATTTTGAAACTTCAATAGACAGGAAAGGGATACGTAAAAGAGAAACACTTAGATAAACTAAGCACTCGATCATCAGGTTAAACCTGGGGGTATTCAGGGATGAAATTTTTTATGAATTTTTCACTCACGAAACTTTTGTGGGAAAAGAAAAAATTGAACAACAGCAGGGATTCCCTCGTTGTGCGCCGAATGACAGACAGAATGCCGCTAATTTTTTTAATTCTTCAAAAAATTTTCTGCCGAAAGTTTTCGGTGTTAAAAAAAACATCGGAGTACATTCATCTTCATCATCGTCTTCTAGAGATCAGTGTCCCTTGGATTCCAAAAATATTAATAACTTTGAACAGGAAATTTGTTTGAAATTTATTGATTCGAGGAAACGTACGTATGAAAAAAACATATAGAAATTTTCTATACGGATTGCGTATAGAATTTCTATAGGATTTTCGTATATGATATTCGGATATTTCTATACGGATATTTTTTATACAAATTATTTCCATACGACTAGGAAAAGGGCGCGCGCTCCACGCGCGCACATTTAATTCATGGCCACAAGTTAAGCCAAGTTATTATCATAGATGATTAATATTTATTTATGGTCCATACTTTTCTTTGAGGATCGTTTCCTCTTTTAAAAAAAGAATGAAATGTTTTTTGTCAACAATTTTTAAAACGATTCACTTTTGGACATAATTGGAATTTTAATGGATGTGGAGGACTTGAAAAATTTTATATTATATATATAATATGCCTATATTTCATATATATATAATATAATAATATAATTAATTTTATGTAATTTTATATAACTGATGTTAACAAGTATTAATGAGAGGAGGAGGACCACATAGGTGTAAAACAAAGAAAAACATTTGTAACACCAAAGAGATGAATAAATAAAAAATAAAAATAATAATATAATTATTTTAAAAAAATATTGATAAAAAATGAAAAAATACATATAAAATATTTTTCTATATATATTTTTTTATTATAATAGATAATTTGAAAGAAATTAAATAAAAAGGTATTTAAGTTTAAGATGGAAATATTCCTAAGCATAGGCATGGCGGAATAGATTGCTGACAAAAAACGTTACATAATTTTTTTAAAAGAGGAAGAGGATTTCTATGGGTTTGATCCTATACGACCCACTACCACATGTATAGAACAGAAACATTTCGTATGGAGTTGCGACATTTGTCTACGTTTTTCTCTGGAGCGTCTAGACATCTTTCGTATGAAAACAAAAGTTTATGTAAAAATTTATGTATAGAAAATATTCGTATAGAAATATCCGAATATGATATACGGAAATCCTACAGAATTTCTATACGGAATCCGTATAGAAAATTTCTATAAATTTTTTCATACGCGCGCGGTAGCCTTCTGTTACCACTTAAAGGTTAATCATTACATTCATCAATTCGCCCATGTGTTCTTTCAGTGATAGATACAAAGTCTTCTTGGACCTCTTCAATCTCTCCACCTTTCTCATCCCAAGAAATTTGATTCCGCCACTGACAAAGGAGATGAAATTGAAACTGTCGATCGCGTGGGGTTGCCTCGCCATCGAGGATGAGTCATCGGATCAAACGGTCTCCGAGAGCTCTGTGGAAGGTTCATTCTGAGACCAATAACACAACTGCATAATCCGAAAACTTTCCGTTTTATTAATACAATAAAAATCTTAGAATGTTACTTGGGGAAAATATTTACCGAATTCCAACAGCCATTGTTTCCAACGCACTTCTAAGAAAATATATAGAAAAGCTTGCAAATTCGTTAGAAGTTCCTGCGGGAGTCCCAATGGAAATCCTATTAGTTTTTTTCAATAGAAAATATTATATAGAACAAAAATCAACAGCATCTGATCTGTTTATACAATTCATTCTATTGAAGATTTTTTTATTCCCCAACATCAATTTTATTTAACTTAATTCTTTCTATAAAATACAACTATGGAATTTTTCTATAGAATCGGTGAAAGACCAATAGAATTTTCTAACGAACGGGCTAGATTTTGCAACTAATTTTTTTCTTACGTACCCCCAGAAAAATATTTTTTTGATTCAAATAAAAATTTATATTTGATATTTTTTACTTATTTCAAGAATATTGTTATTACAAATGAATGAACTTGTTTACTTGTTCCAAGAATAAGAATTTACTCATATTAAACAACCAATTTATTTATTTGAAATGAATTATATTTCAAAATCAAATAAACAATTTATTTAGTTCAAAGGAAAAATTTATTTGTATCAAATAAAGATTTATTAATAGTAAAAAAACATCTATTTAATTTGAAAAAAAAATTGATTTAGTACTAGTAAAATAAACTTATTTATTTGAATCAAATAAATAATTTTTCCGGGTGCACAACTCATTCTTAAATGTCGACGAATGATTGTTGGAATTCAACAAATATTTTTCCCCATAACTCCAGTCGTTTTACACACGTAAGAATAGAATACACTGATGGTACATCCTCCCTCTTGTAATATACAATAAACTAAAGAATGACATCCACTGCTGCAACCTGATTCGCAATGCCTGCAAGGAGCACATGAGACCCTTCAATTAGACGCATTATCTTCTTTGTACACCAGTCTTATATCCAAAATCGAATGAAATTACCGACCGCATATGTTCTTTCCAATTGCGATGTACAGGTACCCTTCATCACCGAACAAGGGTCCCCAAGAATTTCTAACTATGTAGAAAGGTATTGGTCCACTGGTGTCGTATCCCACTATTTGGACAGCGTGATTCAACATTGAGAATGCACCATCGCAGTGGAATTGTATGATACCGCCCAGGTAGTTCTGCCACGTGAGGGCATTGACCGCCGCAGCAACTGGTCCATGATTGACAAGTGTTGATATGAGTTCTTCTTCGGAATCAACGTAACTGAAAGCAAATGGAAATTGCGGGCGATTGCGGGATTTTTTCAATGTTAAATTGCTTTTGATTTTTATAGTGAATGTGTTGTGTTATTGATCGTCGTGAAAATTAAAGGATAAAGGATTGATCGACCTTGCCAAGCATTTATCTACCCCCTCACGTACGGGGGTATGCCATGCATCGACCTATGAAAATATGAATGACTCGCTTTAAAATTGATTATTTTCAAAACTATGGAATTTAACTCAAACAAATGAATAACAACGAAAAAAGGAATACTGTCTCTTCAATTACATATCGGTTTCATAATTTTCCGTTGATTAGAAGTCATTACATTTTACTTGTATCGAGCGTACTCCACGCTTGGAAACAAAAGGACCCCGTCTGTGATGGGTTAATAGTATATTTCGTTATTACACTGTTACAAATTTTCGTCTGAATTTTCCGTGCCAAATTCTGGAAATTCTTATCGTGTTCAAGTTCCACTGAAATTTCAGAAAATCTTGTCATTGAAAATTCTGAATTTCGTGGAAAAATCAAACAGAATTGTAAATATCCGTATCATTTTTCCATGAACATGAATAGGAAACCAGAAAATTCCAGTAAATATATTCTTGAATTTTCAGGACTGTGACACTGAATGCGATTTAGGGGAAAAAATCATGAAAATTCAGATTTCACTGAAAATTCAGTGTAATTTGGCAATGAATATTCATATTGGAATGGAAATTCAAATAAATTAAGGAATTCTCGTCTTTATGCTGCTTAAAATTCTGGAATTTTACTGAATTTTCAGTGAGACCTGAAATTTCATGGTTTTTTGTCCCCTAAATCGCATTCAGTGTCATTTTCCTGAAAATTAGTAGCCAACTAATCTGCCCATGAAATTTCATTTTTTTTCCAACAGTGTAGGCAGAGAAAAACTTTTCTGACGAATATGAGTTTTCAGCCCCAGTCGAAAGCGAGGGTTGCAATCAAATGACGGCCGTTTCATGCTATTTCACTCAAATCGGAAGACTTTTTTTTAAATCTTCAAGAAAAATTGAATATGTTGTCGATTTATTCCATGCATCCCTTAGATAGGTACTAAAAACTAAACATTTTTCGAAGTTATGCGAAATTAAAATTTCAGGACGGGCCAGGTAAGTTTTTTTTAAAGTTATAACTTGATAAGTATAAATTTTATTGAAGAAGTGCGAAACAACTTTTTTAATCAAAACAGGTGTAAGTTTAGGGGGAAAAAAATCCAGACTGGAAAAAAATTGAATTTACAATGAATTAATCAACAAACACATTGAAAAGTTAACAACAAATCATGATGGCATGTCACGAAAAATTGGAAAAAATATTTAATTATAAGCTTCCTATGCGTACACTCTTGCTTGAATAAGCTCCCTTCTACTAAAATTTAATCGTTACAAAAGTGTCAAATGGTCAATAAATTTCATATCGTGCATGAAATATTCATTTTTAGGGCATATTTCATTTTCTCTAGATTCTTTTCTTTTATTATTTTTGCAAGCTTCGACACCAGAAGCTTTCATCTGCACATTTGTTATTTCCAATTATACTGGACGGTCAATCGAAAGAAAATCATGTAATATTTCTGGTAATCTAAACTTGAAACAATTAAGAAATTTTTTTTCCCCCCGAAAAGAAGTTGTGCGCGAGCCGAATCAGACGTTCCATTAAAATTCGATATTGAATAGTTCATGTGCGTTCCTAGGCATCTTAAGTAGAAGAGTCGATTGAAAACACTTGCATAACATGTGGTATCGGGTCATAAATAATCTAGCTTGATAAAATATTAATCTAAGATTACCTGTTACACGCGAAGCCCGCAACTCTCACCGTTGACGTTTTCGATCTATAAATAAGAGAGATAATTGGAAGTAATCATAAGTAGCAGTGCACATTGTTTTATGATTTCAGTAGTGAAGAGGTAATACGAATTTTTTTTTTTGGAAATATCTCGGGATGTGACGGTGATCGCGATATTTTTGTAAGGGCTCAATTGTTATTATTATTTTTATTTTTATAAAAATCTCAATTTCAGAATAAAACATGTCAAGCAAGTTTTGTTGGAAGCAAAAAAATTACACGATGAAAATTATCAAGAATTAAATAATCTTTTGTTGAACAGTTGAAGAGGAGAACTTAGAATTTCATAAATTTGCGCAAACTCTGTTGAGAAATAGAAGACTAATCGCTTGATTTTGATTTTTCCTACTTTACATAATTTTTCGGCCATTGGAAGAATTTCCAAGCTCATTGATTTCCCAAACTAACCACTGAATTTCCAAACTCATTCTGAAAATTGAACATTACATATAATTCAATTTTCAATAGATTGAGAATTCAGAAAAGTTGTCGCCTGAATTTTCAAAATGTTCAATGTTTTCAGTACCGTATGGACCTGGAAAAAAGTTAATAGAAAAGCCGATCGAATTCGTTAGAAAATTCTATTGAATTTCTATTAAAACTTTCCATTAGTTTCTGGCTGATTCTATTGACATGTTCAATAAAAAAACATTCAATAGAAAAAGTCAACAGAATTCGATTTTTCTATATAACTTATTCTTTTCATATATTTTCTATAGAATTTGCTCTACTCAAATTTTCTAAGTTTTTTTCATCCCATTTTTCTTTTCTTCTCATCAAGAAAATCAAACGAGAAAACTTTGAAAATTTGAGCCGAGGAAATTCTATAGAACATAACTCAATAGAATAAGTTATACAGAAAAATTGAACTCTATTGACTTTTTATACTGAATATTTTCTATTGAACATTTTAATAGAATCGGCCAAAAACTAATAGAACAGTTCAATAGAAATTCAATAGAATTTTCTAACGAATTCGATAGGCTTTTCTATTAAATTTTTTCGTCCGTGGAGAATTACTTGAATATATAGGAATTCCATGTAACTCTGTCGTTGTTAAAAATTTCAAGCTTTTTCACTTGAAATGTCAAGAGTAATTTTCCTACAGTGTACGACCTCTGCTAGTTTCTAGTGATTTGCTCTTATTTTTCTGCTGTATGACTTTGTCATTTCTTTATTTTATACAACATAATGTACAGTGAATAAATTTCAATCAATCAATGAATCAATCAATCAAACTTCAGATATTCATCAAAAACTGTATCACCACTTGCTCAACAGTTACCTATCCCCTTTGCCCCCTTTACCTATCCAACAAGCAAGTACCGGCTGTGCCAGTCACCGGGTAAGAACTCTCCGCCAGAATTGGAACCCCATTATCCTCCAGCCAGGAAAGCAGGCTACAAATATCTCCCCCATTGCACCCAAAGTTCCCGTTCCCGGCGCAGTCGATCATCTGAGAAATTTCGAAATGCGATTGCAATGAGAGGAAATCATTCACTGCAATCCGCTGATGCAGCATCTAATCAGTTGCATAACAGACGATAAAGATAATGTCACCTCTTGCACACTGAAGGAGCGCAATGTGTCATTTTTAATGGCAACCATAGATTCGATGCATGCGACTACAGTGTAGGCCCAACAGGCCCCGCAGGATCCCTGGGCCCTCACCGGAGTGACAACGCCTCTTGCCCTCCAGTCGAGCTTCTGAGGGATCTTGATCAGTCTTTTAATACGATTCAGGTGTTCCTCGTGTGCGCCATGTTTCCGGCGATGAGGACAGTCATTTCTGTGGCGCTCACCTCGGACTGATAAATCCGGGCGCAACGTGAGACTCAGAAATTCCTCCTCCGAGAGATCGGAATATTCTGTCAATCCGTAGTAAGCACTTTCTTGCGTCGACCGCAGCCGATTCATCCGTTCGATTTGACGAAGTGATCGCTGGAATTATTTTTTTTTATTCTTGAGGGCGGGAGATAGAATATCAACGAATGGGGCTTGCTTATTTCTTGAGCTGGGAATGAAAATAGAGTGGGAAATATTCGATGCGCAGTTTTGTCTTAAGAAATCAGTAGGGAAGTGGTCAAACGGCTTTAGTAAATTCCATTCTAGCGCCAGTTCTCGATGAATATCTCAAATTCTAAAGGAGTTAGCGACATTTTCCTAAAAATCTTTTTTGTGAAGAAAAGTGAAGGCTATCGAAAAAGATTTCACAAAAATTTCGCTATCTTTCTTAAATTCCGAGTTATTCAACAAAAACTCAAGTGAGAGCTGAGTCGACATAAATTTGATCGATTGACCACTTCACTACTGAAATTTAGAATACGAAACAAGTTGAGAATTTTTCTCACGATTGGTGGTAGCGTTTTTAGTTCTGATCATTTTAGAAAATCAAGAAATGAGCGGCTAGTGTTTTTTGGAAGGAAATAAGTTCTTTGTGAAATTTCTATTCCACATTTGAGTGCGGTAATGAATTTTTCACATCTCTTTGCATTATTTCGATAGACAACGACTTTAGGCGAAGATATTAAAGATATTTCTGCTCGAATATTTGTACAGTTGGGCAAAAGGTTTCCTAATATTTTATTATATGCAGTTTTTTTCTGAGATAACTACACAATGTACGAAACAATTGAAACTGATTCATTTGGTTTCAGAACTTTATTATAGAACAAAACTGAAATTGCATCCGTAACATTGAATTCCATTTCAGGGAAAAAAACCATGACATTTGAGATTTTACTACAGATTCAATGTAATATTCTAGATTTTTTGAGCATCAGGAAGACGAGAATTCGTTAAATTACTTGAATTTTCAATAAAAAAACATAAACATTCAGTGAACAATTACGTTAAATTCCAAATTAATTGAAAAATTGAGAATATTCATCTGAAGTGTACCGATTTCTGTGAATTTTCACTGAATAGTTGAAGTAAAATTCCAGTTTCCATTGATTTTTCCATGAGATTTTGAATTTTCAATCACAAAATTCCTCGAAATTTGAGTGAAATTTTAAGACGATGAAAATTTCGAAGGATTGAAGCGGAGATTTGACTGAAAAATTTTTAACCGTGAATATTTCATTAAACTCACTTGAAATCTCCCGAATTTCCTGCCGTACTCCTCCGGATCATGCCGATAAGACTTATTATAATAAGAAACGTAAGTTTCGAACAAATGAACGTCCTCAGTACTTGTGTCCGGCGGTACTTTGATCGGAATAGCCAAAAAACCAAGGCTTATCACCAGCGCTGTCACTGCGACGGTCTTCCACTCCATAACAGAGTGTATGGCATTGGCATGATACTTGAGGCGAGCAGGGGAAAGAGTACGGCTTCGCGCAGACGGGGATTGGCTGGGGCCTCTGCGGCTTGAAGTACTTCGGATCAACTTACAGATACTATTAAATATCTTCATGCTGAATAACACACTTACGCGAGAGGCTCATGTACTGGGGAGATAATTCTAATGGATTAAGCATTCCGAGTATCTGCTTGGCGCTTGTTTTTAAACGATTTTTAAAAAATCATAGAAAATAAATTCAATGTAATTCGAGATTTTTGAGCAGGAAGAAGAGAATTCCTCTACTTGAACTTTCACTAAAAACATGACCTTTCAGTATCAATGAACATTCAGCTGTGTTATTGCTCATCATTTTTGAAAATTTCTAAAGAATCATAGAAAAAAAAATCGTTTGATTTTTAGGGACATGTGACCGATTTTTAGGAATCAATTATCAGTTATTGGTGGTCCTGGACATTGACTATGATGATCCTGATCATCAGTGATTTTTATTACTGAAGTTTTGTGATAGATTTCTAAGAATTAGTGATGGGTTCCTGAAAAGCAGTGACATTGCTATGAAAATAGGTGAAAAAATCACTGAATTTCAGAATTTTGCACTCACTGAAGTGCACAATCGCGAATTTCTAATAATTGGGTGTAAATTCCTGGAAATCAGTGACACGTTACTAAAAATCAGTGACATGTCCCTGAAAATCAAAACTTTTTTTCTTTGTGATAAGTTCTAAAGAATGATGGAAAGAGGATAGGGATTTCCTCAAGACTTCTTGTAAGAAACCTTGAGGATATCCAAGTATCTTTTACAGATTGGTACGGAGGGTGTCCCACAACCGAGCTTTTTCCTGCTAGCGTAAAAGCGAAGAGGGTGCTTTTTGAAGTGGAAAGTTCCTCTTCCACTTTTGGACCCGAGCTTTTTTTTGACCTGACTTTTTTCCCCTGGATTGAACTACTAAATTCTGGGGAGAATATTTATTTTTTACAATTATCAAAATCATTTACTGGAACGGATACGAGCCCAAATCATCCCTTCGGAAAGGGGATGAGTATTTTTTCCCAATTTTTTACTCTCACTTGGCACGGATTGAGGAAAATTCAACATTTGTTAGGGGGTGGAAGCCACCCCCGCACGTATCGGGGAGGTTAAATTTTCCACACAATGAAGTTAGGAGGTTGAGGAATGAGGCTGAGCCCAAATCATGCCTCCAAAAGGGGGATGAGTATTTTTTTCCCATTTTTTGCTCTCACTTCGCACGGATTGAGGAAAATTAAACATTTGCGAGGGGGGACGACGCACCCCCGCACGTATCGGGGAGGTTGAAATTTTCACGAAATGAAGGGAACGGGTTGAGAAACGAGTCTGAGTCCAAATTATGTCTCCAAAAGAGGGATGAGTATTTTGTTTTCCATTTTTTGCTCTCACTTCGCACGGATTGAGGAAAATTAAACATTTGCGAGAGGGGAAGACGCACCCCCGCACGTATCGGGTGGCTTGAAATTTTCACACAATGAAGGAAGGGGTTGAGAAATGAGTCTGAGGTCAAATCATCCCTCCGAAATCACCCTTATCCATCGACCCACATGAGAGGCTCTCTACGTCCTCTTGCCTTCGAAATGTTTTGCTGTGCCACGTTAAATTTTTGGTGGCCCTGAAAAGGGCCGATTGTGATGGATTTTCATGCTGGCTGTTGCTGGAAATGGCCTCCTCCAGCAGCCACGCAGGCATGAACCCTCCTGAGGACCTCCACCTTAACACGTTGGAGCATTTCAGCATCCATGTTGGCTGCGGCTGCATGTAGTCGCGCTACTAAGTCCACCTCGCTCTCTGGCTCTGACTCGTAGACTTGATCCTTTAGATAGCCCCAAAGGAAAAAGGCTAGCGGAGTCAAATCAGGGGAACTAATAAGGATAGAAATCTATTATTTTCCAGTACAATTTTTTTTCTCGAGTAGTCTTACCGTTCAGGCCAGTGAAGCGGGCCATAGCGACCAAACCAACGTCCAGGAAACTGCTCATTTAGGTAAGCAGTGACTTCCCGAGAACAGTGAGGTGGTGCTCCTTCCTGCTGGAACCAGCGAGGTCTACCTGCAACAGGTACATCGTCCAGCGTTTCCGCAAGCGTCTTGCTGATAAATGCGAGGTACTGTTGACCCTGAGAGGAGCACAAATGGAAACTGAGAATATTTCGGCGGGGGTATGTCGTATGTTTGTACGTGTGCAGTAGGTGTGTCAAATTTCAGCACTATATTTTTTTCTCATTCGTACTCCAAAAAGTGTTGGCGTATGAAAAAATGTTCAAAATACCGTATAATTTACCGCTATCAGTCAACATGAGGAACATTTTTTTAAATGATTAAACCGTTCATTATCTTCCCTCTAGATATTCCTTGAACTCCCCTTGAAATATCTTATCCGGAATAAAGTATTTTATTACTATTTTTAGATTTCAAAATTAATTTAATTTTTTTAACGCGTATTTTCAATGAGAAATACAAATTGCCCGTGAGGGACGCCTAAATATTGACCGACTGCGGTAAACTATACAGCATTTTGAATATCTTCTTATACACTAACACTTTCTCGGGTATGAGAGGAAAAAATATATAGAGCTGAAATTTTACACGCCCTAGTGTGCACTAAATACTTGCATTCACATAATCCGGAAGTTGAGAAAAAAACACCCGATCACCCACTATTCCGCCCCACACGTTCACTTTCCACCGTGACTGAAAGCTTTTATCCCTCACCAAGTGAGGGTTTTCAACAGCATAGTTATTTAAATTATGTTGATTGAAAATCCCCTCTCTCGTGAACAGGCTTTCATCGGTCCACATGATTTGGGCCAAAAAGTTTTCATGCCGGTAATACAAGGCCAGAAACTCTCGACAGTAGTGCAGACGCTGCTCTGCATCTCCCGGCTCAAGTTTCTGGACGTTCGTGTAGTGAAACAGGTGGGGAGAATTTTCTCGCAAGATGCGGTTCACCGTTGTCTTCGAGCAACCGATTTCTGCTGCAATCTTTCGACAGCTCGTCGTCGGGTGTTCCTCCACACACGCCAAGACTTTTTCCTCGACGTCAAGCCGACGTAAACGTCCCCCACCGTGACCTTGTGGCACAACTACGTTCTCTCGCATGCGAGAGTCCACTGCCTGGAACACTTGTGCAGTCGGGTGTTGTCGATTCGGGTATTTACTGCGATACTCTCGCGCTGACTCTGCTGCATCACATTGGCATGCACCATAAACAAGGTGCATATCAGTGTATTCCTTCGCTGTGTAATTCACCATAATTTTTACTTCACGTCTGACTCCGGCAAAGAATCAAACACGACTTTATAACTGCGACTAACGAACACGACCAGTGCTACCAGATAGAGCTATTCTATTCTTCCAGAAGAATATCCATGGATTTTTTGAGTGGGGGACAAGCATATGAGTGGGAATTACGTAGAGTGGGGGTACCCTGGGAAGGGAAACTTCTGCTAGAAGCCCTATTAGGGGCGCGTTTCGCAATCGACGTAGTAGCAGTAGCAGTACTGTAACCCTATCTAATTTTGCTTTACTGCAGCTACGGTAGTTGATTCCGAAACGCACCCACGGGGGGGCTCCGTTCATACTTCGACGACTACATATCCCCGACTGTGCATAGACTTGTGAAAAGTCTAAGGGAACAACTGTACATAAAAAAACTGTCCATAACCACATCTGTCCACCATCCTTGCAGTCGGCCAAACAGTGTCGGTAGAGTAGAAATTGCATTCGTTTTATTTGCAGTCGATATTAATTATGGATGGCGCCATTTGTCCCACTATAGCACAAATGATCGTCGAACAAGGTCCGCGATTCTACCGGGTATCCACTGTTAATTACACGCATATATATCCCAAGCAGACTCTTTTGAATTGACACTGCGTAGCGCAGTCTCATTTGAATTGAGACATCAAGCTAATATCATCGAATGGTTTAATAAAATTGAGAATGCAAATTAACTCGCTGTGAATTTATATAATTTTATCGAAGAGTAATTAATGGGTTTTAAAAGAAAGATTTCAATGTTTGATTTTGAGTCAACGGCTGAGCCTCACCCTGTTGGAAATTGCATCAACTGAAAACCAGAGTTGATGACCAGAATTTGTAGCAGAGATGTCAGACAAGATATGAATGTTTTTTTTGGCTCAAATGAAAGAGCGGGTCGAGAAATGGCGTGCAGAAGTCTTTAAAGATGACAAATCTCTCTAAAGATGATGAAGATGATGTTTTCAATTGAAAAGCGCAATTGTGACAACATTGTCCAGTGGGGTCTAGGTGTCTCCCCTGGTTCAAAACCATCTTTAGAGGCCCTAGCACGCCATTTCTCGACCCGCTCTTTCATTTGAGC